ACGAGCTCTATCCAACGTTACCAATAATAGGTTACAAAATAAACTGGATCCATTCGAAAATTCAATGTTTCCAGCTTCCATACATTTAGTACAGCCACAGTCATGGCACTCATGTCTTGTTATCATTATAGCAAGTAAAGCCTAAAACCAATGTTTTCCACGAATAATTTTATATCAAAATGCAATTTACGAATTCATTTTAAGTGTTTATTATTTAATAAAAAATATTATTACTTCTATTATTGTTTGGCTGCCATACATTTAGTATGGAGGCTGAAAACATTAAATTTTTGGATAGATCCAGTTAATTCTGTAACCTAATATTGGTACCGTTGGATAGAGCTTGTGAAGCACTTTCAGGATTAGTAACCAGTTTTTCGATATCTTGTAAAGTTTAGAAATAATCGAATGAGATCACTTATCGTTTCCACCCTGTATAGTTAGGGTGTCCATATTCAAATCCGGGAAACTGAGGGAGCAAGAGTGGTCAGTGGATATACTGAAAACGGCACTCAAAACACTCTTTTGCAGTTCTTTAACACATTGCTGCGATCGCTTCACATACGTTTTCATTACTGGTACTACTACACAAAAAGATCGAGCTACTTATAAAATCATGTTTTGTCGGTACGCGTGGGTTTATCTTAGAGATGTTAGTTCTCACGGGGTATACTCACAAAGTCGTCGTTTCAGTCCAGACAGTCTTTGCATAAAAATACAAGCCGTTCACTGTTATCTGCATGAATGCGATTTGGGGGATTATTCTCAATATAATCTTCATATTAATTCTTGACGTGTTTTGTGACTCTGCGCTTGATCACTAAACCTGCTTTATTGAATATACACTTCAGAGATTATGTGAAACAGTTGCACTGCAAAATCGTTCCCATTTCTCGCGAAATAAGGGCGGTGACAAATTTAAAAATATTCGTCTGACGTGCTGTATGCATATTTGTGTCCGCGGGACGAGCTAGTCCGACTAGAACCAATTCACCCAAGTTGCGTTCGTTTTCTGAACTCGCCCCACCGGTGCTACCTTTTTGTACCCAGACAGGTTTGCGCTAACGAGATCCATATCCCAGACAAATTTTTGGGGTAGTTGTAGTTGGTGATCACCTTTTATTTTGTCGACCGTTTGGTGTAGTGTTCTGAACGGACTACTATGCTGAGAGGTCCCGGGTTCGATTCCCGGCCGAGCAGAAATTGAAATGATGAAATTTAATTTCTGTGACGGGTCTGGGTGTTACCACAGAATAATAATAAGAACTTCGTACAGAAGATTTTCTTCGCGAAGGTATTTAAAAAAATGTATGCTCAATGTCGTTAACAATATGGTGTAATTTAGCTTGTCTCAAGAGTCGAGCACCATTTTGTTGACAAACGTCAGTGATCGGTACTGCGCCGAAGACATAGGGCTGACTTCGGTAAAATGATGTGTGACGTGAGGTGCCAAACTGCGAAAAATGGCGGAGGAAATACATGAATAAGCATGAATTATATTTTGTGTTTCTAATATTATTCAGGCAGTTAAAAAATACTGCAGAGTATTAATTGCACCACCGTTTATTGTCTTTACAATGCAAATGGGTGAAGAATACGTGCGTGCGTCAATACTCGCTCGTGATTGTCCTGTCGATTTGGTATCTCAGGAGGGGTAGTCGCGCGTGTTTTGTTTTCGATGCAAACTCGCGAAGATGAACAGGCCTGGTGTTACGTATAATAAGTATGTATTTACAAAAAAAAGTATTTAAGTATGTTTATATTCGTTGTCTAGTGCCCATAGTACAAGCTTTGCTTAGTTTGGGACTAGAAGCGAAGTGTAAAATGTCCAAGGATATTGTAGTATGTGTAAGGCTTTATATTTGGTGTTGCTGCGTAAACTGAGACACAATATACTCGCATCGTACAGTATAAACTACTTTCATTGACAACTCCCGGTCCCCACATTACAATATTTATTGATTTTGAGACAGATAAAGCCCAAAGCTGTGCAGCCAGGTCGAAAGCTCCACATAGTTGCTATCTGAAAATGTACAACAATTTCACGCGAAATTCGCACTCCGCTAGCTTGGTTTTGTAAATGTTCAGTGTAATCCCCTTCAATTGTAAACGATTTACATATTGATACTATTTTTTCTTTAGTGTTTTATCTACAAGTATATTTATTTATTAGGTATACAAAAAGTACATGAGTTTATATACCACAACCTTTATCCAACTTAGCTAAAGTATATAGTTTTCAGATTAAATAAAATGAAATATCTTTGAGAAATAGCCTTTTGAACCACAAGCTTCGTATCACGTCAGTGCAAGTTTCCGCCAATAGATAGGTATTGCCCGGCCATTGTTTCCTTAAGGAAATGAAACGAATTTAAATCACTCTCATGGTTGCCATCCGTGGCTTCTATTTTTAACCGACTTCAAAAAAGGAGGAGGTTCTATGTTCGACTGTATCTTTTTTTTTCATATGTATGTTCACCGATTACTCCGATTAGACCGATTTTCAAAATTCTTTTTTGTTCGATAGGGTACACTTCTGAGGTGGTCCCATTGTCACCAAATCAGGATCTGATGATGGGATCCTAGGGAAATCGAGGGCAACCCTCAAATTATACCGTCAATAATACGTGCCTAACGTATTATCGTTTTTCATTTTTTTTTAAGTTATTGTTCCTGGAAATCATCATCTCATATTGATGAGCTGATGACAGAAGGTAAAACTCCTTACTGCTTAGGAGTTGGAGGATAATTCTTTTACTTTTATAGATATGTATATTTTCTAAAGTTATTCAAGTGTTTGTATCAGATAGTCATCATCTCATCATAAAAATATAAAGTCTAAGTACCTCTAACCAGATTATGAAACAAATCGATCTACCGATGCTGCCCTATCACGCCTCGTGAGTGACTCGAGTATGTTCGCCACTCGCCAGTCTGTCCGGTGAAGCTTTAAAGCTTTCAGCTAGCGTATGCTACCAAATCATTTTACGGGTACTAAAAGTGGTTGCACTCACTTTTGCCTGTTGAAAATTGGTGAGCATTATAAATAAATAAATATCCTTGAGCTTTTTGCTCAAAGTTCTACCTACACTAATAGACAGTCTATTCTAGCACTTCATAGATAAGTTGATTACTTTAGAAGTAATATTATGTGCCTTTAATATATTTAGCAGTACTCAAACCAGATAGGCCAGGTGGTCATTAATTTTGGTGTTTTAAGCTAAGCGTCCACTTGTCGGTATCGTACGCAACGGACGCATCGTACGAAACACATTGTATCGGATGTGCGATGCGTACGATGCGGACAGGTGGACGCACTTATATGAGTTTCCATATAAATAATACTACGATCCGTTGCGTGCGATACGTCCGATGCGTACGATACCGACATGTGGACGCTTAGCTTAAAATTATTTTCGTATTCTTCTTAACAACTGACGTCATAGCCAATAATAAACTACCGTTGATGTCTGACTTTGCCCAATCAGGCCAACTTAACGTGCTCTCCGAATCACATACTAGCACGAATTTTATATAGTGGCAACCCTGAGTAATAGCGAACCACCGAACCGGACTGATCTCGTCTTACGTTGATCGAATATTGCCGACCGAATAGTGTGAAAAGGCTGACCTTGAAATTAATGGAAGTTGGGCCTTTCAATCACTAGTTTAATAAAGGCACTGCACTGTAAAGGTGCTGGTGCCGCCACCGCCGGCGCACCTGCATTCATCTAAATATACAATAACTCAAAGGTGACTATCAACGCACAGCCCAAACCACTGGACGGATCGGGCTGTAATTTGGCATGCAGGTAGATGTTATGACGTGTAGGCATTCGCTAAGAAAGGATTTTACGAAACTCCACCCCTAAGGGGGTAAAACGGCATCCACGCGTACGATAAGTCGCGAGCGGCCGCTAGTCTTTACATAATAATGAAGCCACGATAGCCGTACGGTGAAGGGGTCGGACTGGCCGACTCGTGATCCAGCTCCAACTCTACGCGGGTTCGAAACTTCGAACCCCGCCGCCGCTCGACTATTTTGGTGAGCCCACTCGTGACACAAGCACATTTAGCTAAGTACGAGGGGCTAATATTCTTTTAAAAAAATAAACTCTTGAACTGAGAGACTCTATATGTCTCTACAAGTCTTAACCTAGCCTTTAATATTTTTTCCTAGTGTAACCCATCTTTACATAGAAAATCAAAAAATAAACATGAAAATAATATGCACATTTTGAAACTTGATTCTTGAATCTAAATCAAACGTGTTATTCTTTCGTAAAATGAAATATGTCTGATCCAGACCTGTTTTGTACAAAGCACGAGTAATCGTTAACTAAACCAAATCGTTATTGGTTCTCAATGGAGTGCAATTACACGTGAAGCAAAAGGAGATTAAGCAATTAATGTAATTAGCAACGCATTAATTACAAATATACTTGCATTAACCTACAACGAGCTCAGTAGGTACCATATAATTTACGGGGGAGATAATCCCATAATATAGGACTGCATTTGATTATATCGGAGCTTTATGTTTAATTAATTCATACAAAATTTGTTTGTTGGTGTACCTATTAAATAAATAAAATAAAAAATTCGTAAGAAATACGCTTTTTATCATAGTAAGATTTTTTCTTTACTCATGTGCTTTTATCTAGTAATATGTTATTTAATCGAATTTGAAAGTCCTGCCTCAGGTATAATACAAATAAATAGATAATGCTAAGCCTAGGTGCAGACCACCGATTTTTAATTGGCCGATTCTAATTTGTATGAAGAATCGCCGATACTGTGTAATGTGCGCACTTTCATACATCTCCATACTAATTAACAGCCCGAACTATCGGCCAACTAAAAGTCGGTGGTCTGCGGCAAACCAATACAACTAACAGTACAGATAAATGCATTCAAATGCACGTCATTGTTTCATAGTGCATTGCGCTTCAAACAATAAGTATACCACTCGCAAATCTAACTGCTAAATTCGTCCACAGATGGAGCGCGCCAATCGCAAGTACATCCTGACGCAAGGCCCGCTGGCGTTCACCGTCAGCCATTTCTGGCTCATGGTGTGGGAGCAGAACTCGCGCGCCATCCTGATGCTCAACAAAGTTATCGAGAAGAACGAGCTCAAGTGCCACTGGTACTGGCCGCAGGGCGTCGGCGAGCAGCACAAGATGACCCTCGTGGACGTCAAGCTGACCGTCGAGCAGATCAGCGAGGACGATCGCAACTACTACTCGACCAGGGTGTTCAAGTAAGTACACTTTACCAGTCCTGGATCTGTCAATACGCCGTATAGGCCGCGGCCTAGGGGCGGCAGATTTCAGATGACACTTACTCGATTTCAGAAGATAAAAGTTAAATAAAGATCCAACCCCACAATAGCCAACGGGCGGCAAAACTGTAAATCCGCCACTGCACTTTACGGGTGTTTTCTATACATTACAGAGCGTTTCATCCACGAAGACGCTCCGCGCCATCTTTCCGCTAATGTTTGAGTGTTATCGGTACACGCTAAATTATCCATGAGTGTGCACTCTAGCGTCGTTATTGTAGTGTACGCTCGGATTGCTCGCTTCAAACTTTTCCGCCCGCGCTTTTTTCGACCAAAAATTGGTGGGATGCGTCTTCGAATCGTTATCGAACTTCGTTATTTGTTTGTCTGCTACCTACTGAACGAGTTAACTTTGCTAAACGTAAAATGTACATAACGCACTTTTCGGACGATTTGACCGCGGCATTTTCTTCTGTAAAATAAAAGTTACGACGACGCGACGGAAGATTAACGGAATTTAACAAGTCGGTCAACTTTTAAGTCTTCGTTAATTAACTATTTACTCTGGTGCACATCTTTGTCTATTTAAACGATGAAAAAGTTATCCGCGTGAAGGTTTCTGAAGCGAGCTTTCAGTCAGAAAACTTTCGACCGCACTCTTTGTTGTTTTAAGCAGCAGTGCCCAGAACTGGTGTCAAATTCTAAAACCGAGCAAGTGCGAATAACCTGATATTCATGACTCTCTCTTCAATATTTCTGAAAAAAAAATCCTGTAACAGATGTAACATGATCTTATGAAGGGGATTTTAAAGCTTAAGAGGACTGTAATACTGTAATAATTATGTATATGACTAAAATGTCCTTACATAATACGTATTACCCACACATCTTAATCTTAATATGCATTAAGATATCAATCAACCAGCTGTGTGGATATTCAGATGATTGGATCATTATTGTGTATAATGTGAATCCTAGATACCTACTAAGATACATACTGGATATGATTGAATTTAGTATAATTGTCAGTGGTTTTGTTGCCTAATGAGTGTACAGTAACATTAGATTAGATGCCTGATGAAGACTACTTAATATGTGCGTCTAACAACACCATCCATTAGTATCAGCGACTATCAGTCTGCAGCACAAGATTATGAATATGCTGAATAATGCTGATAGCTGGAGCCCCACCTGCCCGGCACGCAATGTATGGGTAAACAAGATGCAATATTAATTAATTTTGCATTTACATTGCTAAGTAGCTACATAAGTATATCTCACACATAAATTTTCACTTAATAAACTTGAGTGCCTCAAGGGCCGGGCTCGTTGTTACTCACGCTCGTTCGTTCACCTGGCAACTGTTTTGACCGACTGAGCTACCATAGACTCATCTTAATTTTCAAATGTATTTTTCACTGTAAGCCAGTGTCGTTTCAGCCAAGACAATAATATGTACTTGCAAAGACTGTCACAAAACCTGCCACTAGTTCAATCGTATATTTACCCATAAAACTGTCATCTACTATAGCGCCGTTCCGTTACACGTGGATCGGACTAAATCAAATTTGCTTTTTGAAAGGTCGCAATATTAAAAGCAAAATAAATGCAAATTATTCACGAGGCTCTGTGTGGTTTGCGAGGCACGAGTAGGACAGAAAACAATGCCTTCGTTATGTTACATCCAATCATTCTCCCAGGGCTGGCTGATGAGGCTGGAGATGCTTTTAAAAAATGCATTTGGTAAAAGCTCAGAATGGTTACGTTTAGCTCATCGTTTGTTACGAGGATAAACTTGTATTTGGTCATGAAGCAATTAATTCCTCTAACACCGTGTCTCTTTAGTATGTATTTGGAAAGCTCCGTGCTGCACCAACGCCAGCCAAAAGGCACACTTGCACACTTAGTTACAAACTTATGATAAAGTTCCCTAATTTTATCCGCACCAGTGTTTAGCTACAGAGTACAGACAATAGAGGGGTGTCACGGCAAAATCTCCAGGACTCTATCATTTCTCTGTTAGTTCCTTAAGAACATAGTATGCCAAAGCCTCCACCATGATCGCAGCAGCAGCCCTGAGCTGTTCCGAGCGTCCATCATAACATTCGAGGGCAGGATCAAATGCGCGCTGCCTGTACATGCAAATGCACCTTTACTGAGTTTCGATAATAATTATATTACAACGCGTGGCTTTCGTCCAATATTTGCAGAACTACGCTGAATTGCAAATTGCATTGATATTCAATATGAAGCGGCAACAAACGATATTGTATTTTATAACAGCATCGCATAGGAACTTGCAATGGTATTATTTTCTACAAAAATTGAACATTTTGACAAGACTAGATTCTACCAATAAGTTTTTACATAATATCGTCTGAAACACCAATGGTTAATTTATTACAACGGCCATTGCGTTGTGTTATTATTAATTAAAAAAATCAATTTGAATAAAATAATGGTACTATCAAAGCGAATAGCATCATTTTCATAATGAGGTAGGCAGTAAGTACCTGCTTGCGGAACAGTTAATGGTATGTGTGCATCATTTTTATCATAGGTAGGCAGTAAGCCCTAGTAAATTACTTAGTTACATCAAGTAGACTGCTTAATTGCCCATATTCTGCCCCTGCTGTTGAAAAGATAATGAGTGGACAAGACAAGTGGCGTGGCAGTCCAACGGTCTGCGTGATTAAATGCCTTTAATTTGATGATGATGATGTAGATGACACTACAGAATGGAAAACGTGACTGATGATCTTCAAAAGGTTAATCTTAGGCTACTAAAGCGACACTATTGAAGCCGAACTAAACCCTACGTAAAACGGAACGCAATAACGTCTCGCAATGGCGCTCGTATTGGCTACTTTTTAAAACTCTTAAAGTTTATGCATATCACAATTTTTTTGATATACGCAATACAACCTTTGAACCTTTATCTGCCTTTTTTCTGCTCATCATCTTCTGCAACTGGAATCATTAATTCTGAAACGAAACACACACTATTTAAGCCTCAGATTCCATCTTACAGGCTTGACATAATCGTAGCTGAATATTTAGTAATATACTACTCTACATGTTATGTCATATTATTACATTTCCATCCAACGCGACATATTTTTTGAAATTTCAGCTGAATCAAATAAAAACAATACGTTAAATTTCATTTTAGCAAGTTTGATGAGATCATGAACGACAGATTAATAAAAACAAGCTTTAAATCAAATTGTTTTGTTTGCATTATTATTCAATGTGCACTATTGTTTTGCAAAATTCGTATTCGCTTAAAACAATCATTAATCATTTTTATAGAATTTATCAAATATTGAACGCCGATATTCTAAGGAGTATATTAAAGACATTTTAATAAATATGAAATTTTATATCAAAATAACGTAATATTGTTTTATCCCCGTACAATAGCGATGTATAAAATATTTAATGCTGCGCCGCGATGCGTCTCTGTTTCTTCATAAAAAATGGTACTTTTGTATCAAAATAACAAAAACAAAAGCATTACAAATAATAAAAAACAAAAAGGGAAGGTCCCACCGAGATTTGAACTCGGATCGCTGGATTCAAAGTCCAGAGTGCTAACCATTACACCATAGGACCTGTTGGGAAGTACGGGGAATTTCACGTACTCTATCCGCCAGAATTCGCTGTCGGGGGATGATTTGAGAATATTCCCGGTGCACAGAGCATGTTTCCAATGAAAACTACATGCAATGCACCTAATAAATGTCATCTTCTTAGTATACACTTATCTTCTAATATTTAATTTATGTTTTAGTGCTTGCTCATATTATAATGCGTATCGATTTAACGACGAACACATCACGCTAATTTTCATCTAGCAGTTCGCTAGAAATGTTTATTTAGCCCCGACATTCCCTATATTTGCCTATAGGTAATTAAATGTAGCTCTTCTCATGTCCAATAATGTATAATAATAGTTTATTACAACATATACCGAGAGTTATAAATAGAGTTTTAAGTATATCGGAGAGTGCCTAACATATTAATTTATTTCAATAATGACTTTTTGTAATATTTGTTTTGCTACTTTTCAATAATGTTTGTTGGAGTGTATTACGCTGGGGTGGGCTCTCAGACGACCTCATCGTGCATTTATGCAATTTTAATATTTATTTACTTAATTCAGATGCTCTTTCTACACACGATGTGCATGTAATAACTTGGCTCCGTAGTCAAGTGGTGAGTTTATTTAAAACTGGCAGCCGCCCGCGACTTCGTACACGTGGACCCGCTTAGGAGTGAACTTTCGAGTTTTTTAGGGGTTTCCCGGAAATTATTCGAACTTTTCTCGCCGTAAAAACCATCTTAGACTTCAACGAACATTTTTAAAAAAGAATTGGTAAAAGGACATCATCCACGTTTCATATATTTTTGGTCCAAAATCAAAAGTGCCGGCCAACAAAAAAAAGTGCTGTATTCTGACAGAATACGTCTGCCTTAGCATTTGTTACTATGGCACCAAAGCCGTAGCTCCACTGTGCGTCGAGTATTTGAGATCTAAAAGTCATCGACTATTCATACATTTTTTGTTCAAAATCAAAAGTGTCGGCCAAAAAAAAAAAAGTGCTGTCTTCTGACAGAATACGTCCGCCTTAGCATTTGTTACTATGACACCAAAGCTGTAGCACCACTGTACGTCGTAGTATTTGAGATCAAAGTCAGTCGTTTCATATATTTTTAGAACTCAAATACTACGATGCACAGTGGTGCTACAGCTTTGGTGCCATAGTTATAAATGCTAAGGCGGACGTATTCTATCAGAATACAGCACTTTTATTTTTTGGCCGGCACTTTTGATTTTGGACCAAAATGGATGATGTCCTTTGTCCAGGCGTTTTTGAGTTATGTGCTTACCAACACATTTTGCGATTCATTTTTATATTATAAACGAGTTCTTTTAAATAGTATCAATAATAGATTACGTTAAAGAAACTTAGTCCTTGCTCTAATAAAAGCTTGTAGAGTTAGTAGTTAACCTGCTACTTTAAAGTAGGTCAGAAGATATTAGTTTCATGCGATCCGGCTTCAAAGATTAAATTGGTATTTTAAATCAAAACCAAATTAAATTATATTTAATAACATTTGTAGATGTAATTCCGAGAGAAATGTTTTTCTAAAGGCCACGTGTATCTAAAAGGAATTGTGAAAAAGTTATTTGTTTGTTTGAGATATTTTGTCTTTGAAGCCTGGTAAGGCGGAATGATGAGATACGTATTGATTTAATTTATTTTATCTCTTCATACAAATAATGCTGGTCTTATTTTAAGGTACAACTAGCTTTTCCCGCGGCTCAGTCTGCGTTATACAGGGTGTACAAAACAATCAGTGTCCAAATTTTAAAGAGTGAATCAGTATCAGTAACTTAATCGATTTAAGTAAAGAAAACTTTCTTTTTTCATATTTTATTATTTTTGTCAGCGCGCGCGATTTCAAAACTAGCACACGTGGATAATTTACTTCGTTTATAGAAAAATACAGTTACCGGCAATGCTTAATAGACAATGGTGCGCGAAATAAAGCCTTATCCTTTACATAAAGTTATAAATAATATAAAGTTGTATTATTAGGCAATAAATACATTTTTTATTTATTTTTTTATTAAATTGTTCTATAGAGCTTTTTAAAAAAATGCATAATTATACTGTTTGAAAAGTCTCCCTATTATAATATCTTTGTAAATCACAGCCTGTATGTTATTTTAATGTAAGTATAGTAAGTAGGTAGTTTTTGCGTAAGTAGAATTTAATGCCCCACCGAAGTATTTACCAAAATCATATCTTAGAAACTTTGGCGTTCAATGAGGGTTTTCGCGTTTGAAAGATCCGCTAGATGGCGGGACGTGGATGTGGGGTCTGACTGCTGCGTGATTGGTGGATTTTGACATATCTGTCAATGTCATGTCAAAAATAACCAATCATGCAGCATTTGGACCTCGCGTATTGCCATCTGGCGGATTTTTCATACGCGAAAACCCTCATTCGTCGAAATAACGGCCAATGTTTGTCGCAGGATCGTGGACATGGAGAGCTCTGAGAGCCGCGAAGTGATCCAGTTCCACTACACCACCTGGCCGGACTTCGGGGTGCCCTCGTCGCCCGTGGCGTTCCTGGACTTCCTGCAGACCGTGCGCGCCTCCGGGACGCTCGAGCCAGACGTGGGTCCGCCGGTGGTGCACTGCAGCGCCGGCATCGGCCGCTCGGGCACCTTCTGCCTGGTGGACTCCTGCCTCGTGATCGTGAGTAATTGAATAAGAATAAGAATGTCTTTATTCAGCATAATTAGCATTTAAGGTATACAAAACAAGAGTAAGTACATAAAAAAACATAAAAACATAACAAACAATAAATAAAAACATATGCTGAATAGGCGCCCGCTCATCAAAAATCGCGACATGACACAAACGTCATGCCGAGAAGCTGGTTTTCAGCGGGAACCAATTGACAGAGTCCAGTATTCCGAAGTCCCAAACACTGGTAGTTAAGTATGGCCAGTCGGCGCAAGGACTCCTTCTGCCTGGTGGACTCCTGCCTCGTGATCGTGAGTAATTGGACAGAGTCCAGTCTTCCGAAATCCCATACCATGATAAAGCACGGCCAGTCGGCGCAAGGACTCGCACCTTCTGTCTGGTGGACTCCTGCCTCGTGATTGTGAGTAGTCGGACAGGGTCCAGTCTTCCGAAGTCCCAAAAACTGGTAGTTAAGTATGGCCAGTCGGCGCAAGGACTCCTTCTGCCTGGTGGACTCCTGCCTCGTGATCGTGAGTAATTGGACAGAGTCCAGTCTTCCGAAGTCCCAAAAACTGGTAGTTAAGTACGGCCAGTCGGCGCAAGGACTCGCACCTTCTGCCTGGTGGACTCCTGCCTCGTGATCGTGAGTAATTGGACAGAGTCCAGTCTTCCGAAGTCCCAAAAACTGGTAGTTAAGTATGGCCAGTCGGCGCAAGGACTCCTTCTGCCTGGTGGACTCCTGCCTCGTGATCGTGAGTAATTGGACAGAGTCCAGTCTTCCGAAGTCCCAAAAACTGGTAGTTAAGTACGGCCAGTCGGCGCAAGGACTCGCACCTTCTGCCTGGTGGACTCCTGCCTCGTGATCGTGAGTAATTGGACAGAGTCCAGTCTTCCGAAGTCCCAAAAACTGGTAGTTAAGTATGGCCAGTCGGCGCAAGGACTCCTTCTGCCTGGTGGACTCCTGCCTCGTGATCGTGAGTAATTGGACAGAGTCCAGTCTTCCGAAGTCCCAAAAACTGGTAGTTAAGTACGGCCAGTCGGCGCAAGGACTCGCACCTTCTGCCTGGTGGACTCCTGCCTCGTGATCGTGAGTAATTGGACAGAGTCCAGTCTTCCGAAGTCCCAAAAACTGGTAGTTAAGTATGGCCAGTCGGCGCAAGGACTCCTTCTGCCTGGTGGACTCCTGCCTCGTGATCGTGAGTAATTGGACAGAGTCCAGTCTTCCGAAGTCCTAAACACTGGTAGTTAAGTACGGCCAGTCGGCGCAAGGACCCGCACCTTCTGCCTGGTGGACTCCTGCCTCGTGATCGTGAGTAGTCGGACAGGGTCCAGTCTTCCGAAGTCCCAAACACTGATAGTTAAGTACGGCCAGTCGGCGCAAGGACTCGCACCTTCTGCCTGGTGGACTCCTGCCACGTGATCGTGAGCAATTGGACAGAGTCCAGTCTTCCGAAGTCCCCAACCCTGACCGTACCTATGTTTACTTTTGTTGAAGTACGAGTATAAGATTTCATTCCTTCGTGCATTTATTTGATCCAACAGAAGACTAACTAGCATACAAGGCTTTCTATGATTCCCGTCAACAAACATGCATCCTTTTGAAAAATATTTCACCCCACCCCAAAATTGAACCCAAAAATACAGTAGCCGAAGATCATTAAAGCGAAATATTTTTTTCCAAATAGCTTTCTATTTTAGCGACCCCAAAAATTTGCATTCTCTCACAGACGCTGCAATGTAGTCCGATGCCCGTCGTTTTCGCAATGATGCGCTTGCGCCTACGCTACGTGCGAGCGGCGTATGACGTAACTGTCACTTTTTGCCGCGCGGCCCACTGGACTGTGAATGGAAACCCGCGTGGAAACGCATTTCAAAGTCAAATTGGAACAAGTGGATTTTAGCATACCGTGTCGGTGAACACGGATATTTGTTCTAGTATTTTTAATTAATTTCAAGGTTTATGACTTATAATTAAGTAGGTACGCCGTTTTCAGTGTGCTCGAATCCCTGAACTTTGTGTTTGTAAGGGCTCACTTGAATGGGTGATGATCACCAAGAAAATTCTTATCCAAAAAGATGAGAAACGCGTATTAAATTTTCGTTAACTTTAGTGCATAATATTCGTATTTCAAGAGTTCCGTTGCGAAAAAGTTTGAGAAGCACTGCCAGAGATGATTGTTCAATAAGTATTCGTAACAAACTCAAGTAGACTGTGTTCAAAGTCTGAATCACTTGCATTATAACCGCATTCCTGGCTCATCGTACAAGATACATAAAAGTTAAATCAAATCAAGTATTTTTATTGCATACAGGTCACTCACTAAAATATTGTTCAGCTACATCATACCATATCGGCATGCAACAGAATCAATTTTTCATGATTCATGAAATTAAAAATAAGTAAAAAAGCATAAATCTATAAGCACATACTTGATCCTAATCAAACAAAACTTAAGAAACTTGTACAATGTCGAGAGACAAATAAACCGTCATAGAGAGAGAGAATATAGTTTACTAAAATGCAATGTTATAACACAGGGTGGTGAAACAACCCAGTTGCAGAGCATCAATCAATTAAGTTTTCAGATATTTCAATTAAATATTGTCATTTTTGGAAAACCATTTTATAAACAGTGTCATAATAAAGAGCCAGTGATCCATTACTATTTTTACTCCTTATATTTCCTACAATCACGGTTTCAAAATAAAAAAGGTGTTTTTCTTTGTAACTATTTGTCCCGATGTTCGATTCCCAGTCAGAACAATTCAAATTACCAGTGATAGCCCGCCGTATAAGAACCATGGAGCATCTTGTAATTTGTGCGTTGTAGTGATAGTTCAATACAGGGCGTCAGCTGCTTTATTTCTTAGAGCGCCTTCACATTAGGTCGCATGTTGTGCGCAACAGCGCCTTCCAAAATTTCGCTACCACGCTGTCATATAGTTTGAAATTACGGGTCGCGCGACAGTCGCGCTGCTGAAGTCGCCTTTTGAAGGCGCACTTAGTGACACGTTACTTGTATTAAAGGCCGTTAGATCTATTCTCATAAATAAAACACTGGATAGTCAACTTTCACATTATTGCCTTATTAAAATACAATTCATCACTTAGCACAAAAGCGCGCGGAGTCGTCTCCGCGCGTCCCTCTATTCTGACATTTGATCCTAGTGTGACATTGACGTATTGTCAATGTCACACTATGACAACAGCTCATTGGCCACAACGATACCGTTATTTAACGTTTTAGATTTTTTGCAATTAACACTTGTCAATCTCTACCCTCAGTATTTAAAGTAGAATTGATGATACACTAACGGATTACGGCACTGGTACACACATCAAACAACACTGGCATTTTACATCGTTCCAATAAGCATTATTTTGCAACTCAACTGCTGCGTACTACAACGGTAGTATTTGGTTTCAGATCGAAAACGAGGGTCTCGCCAACGTGAACGTGCAGCAGATCCTTCTGGAGATGCGCAAGGACCGCATGGGGCTCATCCAGACGCCCGACCAGCTGCGCTTCTCCTACCAGGCCATCATCGAAGGCACCAAGCGGATGGACCCCAACTGGGTTCGTACTTGTGCACCTAGAGTCAGCACTGTTAGGTTGGTAGGTATCGCAGCGTGCACGTGCAGGAGATCCTTCTGGAGATGCGCAAGGACCGCATGGGGCTCATCCAGACGCCCGACCAACTGCGCTTCTCCTACCAGGCCATCATCGAAGGCACCAAGCGGATGGACCCCAACTGGGTTCGTACTTGTGCACCTAGAGTCAGCACTGTTAGGTTGGTAGGTATCGCAGCATGCACGTGCAGGAGATCCTTCTGAAGATGCGCAAGGACCGCATGGGGCATATCCAGACGCCCGACCAGCTGCGCTTCTCCTACCAGGCCATCATGGAAGGCACCAAGCGGATGGACCCCAACTGGGTTCGTAGTTGTGCACCTAAAGTGAAACGTGTTAGGTTGGCATTAACAGCCAAATCTGTTTACTGACATCGACTGTCATTTTATCCTAGAGATCCTTTTTTTATTTCGAAGTCAGGTTTATTTCACTATTTAATATTCCTCCCATCTTTAAAGCTCGGCTTATAAGCACCAGCATCAACTGTTTTCCGAGAAATCTAGTACGTAATTGAACGTTATCTTTCGTTTGCAAATACAGCCCTTACGGCGGGCCTACAGTTTGTATCTGAATGCAGAATAATTCCACGGTTTCCTGAGAAATTGCCTTTGGCCTCGACTCTACGTGGGCGTATTAAACGGTTACCTGCTCCGAAATATCTATACTAATATTATAAAGCTGAAGAGTTTGTTTGTTTGTTTGTATATTGAACGCGCTAATCTCCGGAACTCCTGGTCCGATTTGAAAAATTCTTTCAGTGTTAGATAGCCCATTTATCGAGGAAGGCTAGAGGCTATACAACATCACGCTACGATCAATAGGAGCAGAGCAACAATGAAAAATGTTGCGAAAACGGGTTTTCACGCGTACGAAGTCGTGGGCACAGCTAGTATTTAAATAATTCTCAATACTGTACTCTTAAATATTCAGGTTTGCGGCTTTCAGCTGTACACGTCATGATTTTTTAATACATCTTTATTTAAAACTTGTCTGCGTTAAATGTATTATAACTCGTTTTATGTTCGCTTCGCAATCCTATTCGGAAGTAGGCCTAAGAAAACATCCTTGACCGTGGTGTAATCCACAGCAGGACGACAAGGAGAGCTTGTACTCGTCGGTGCAAGAGGAGACCGAGGCCGACGAGGAGGCGCCGCCGCCGCCGCCGCCGCGCGCCGAAAGCCTGACGCGAGCGCCGGCGCGTCCTCTGCCGGCCATTCCCACCAGCACCTCCTTGGGTAAATTCTTCAACCTATTCAAATGCCACCGCTAAGCGCACGGCGCTTCCCACCTTCCCACCTCCAGGGAAGCAACCAGCAGTGTCAAGAACCGACCATCGCTACCGACACTGTTCTTTCGAAATTTTAAATTTTATCCATTCTGCTACAGTCCTAGCTGACCATCGGGCAATATAACCTCAATGCTTACTAACACTTGCGTATTATCACTAGTTTAATATTACATGCATATCGGTTATTGTCATGGCTTTGTAAAGAGTAAAGACATCATCAGGAGACCAACTACCGTGAACGACATTTTGATGTTTAAGAGAAATAGCATATCAATAGAGTTCGCGTCGTTCATACAGGCAATGACAATAAGCTATTACGTAGATCTACTACTATAATAATACTGTAGATTAGAGTTATCTGATAGATATAGCTTATATTTACTATAGTTTTGACTACAAAAGATTCAAGCGGCCAAAGTTAGAATACGTTAGCTATTTAATTCGAAGATTATAGGTTTTTTGGATTATACTAAATTGCCTTAAGAAACCATTGAGTTATATTCTACAATTTGTTATTTATAAGTTGCATTGTAAAAACAATTATGTTATTGCATTTTTTTTTAAATATTCCATCTTAATTTGTATTTTCTTAATAATGTATTACAATGTTCAATAGGATAATGAACGCAAAAAAAATATAAAACAGAAAAATACAAAAATATGTTCAAGTAGAGTAGAAGTAGGAGTGGCTTAAGTAGACTATAGATGTAGGTGATTAGCGACTTTCCAGTCATTCCTATGTTAATCCTTTTGGGGACTTGTCAAAATTATCGTGATTATGAAGAATGTTGGTCCAAAAGCGACCAAGGTGATATAGCGACAAGATATTTTTGGAAATTATTGGAATATTGGATAGGTGTGGATATTAAACGGGATGCCTGATACTAAAATTAAAATTATTTTTCTCTTGTTCTAAGCTTTGTTATGATCGTATTTCGGTGCTCGTAATAAACAGTGTTCGATTCGCGTATGTTAACTATCTAAATTGTCTAAAGAAAAATAATTTTAATTGGTTTAAAATCTTATTTTAAGCTAAAGATATTATGGTGGTATCAATAGAAGCCAGCATCAACTAAAATGTTAAGCTATCGTGACTAAAACTTGACAATTGTCTGTGATTTCTTGATGCCATATTAGTTCAATTTATTATGATTATTAAGAATTTAGTGATAATTTATAAACTTGGGCATTTCGATACGTATCCGTTGTGACTACGTCACAGGAGTTGGACCAAAATTATGCGAAAATGTGGCCTCTTGGCATGTAATGTTATAATATACAAAAGGTATTGTAGGGAACGGGGAAGGGTGTAGTGTTATATAAAAGAAAGCAGGGATTTTAAATTAGTTCAAAATCACATGATCGTGTTCTTTAGACTAGTCTAGTCTAGTTTTTCCTCCCTCGGTTAATTGTAAATCTATCTCTACCACTGGTATTCAAATATACTATCTATATTAAAGTTTATTGTGTGTTGTACGAGTGAATTTTGGCAATAAATCACTCCGTGTAATAAAAATTCGTCTACCTTCATTGTTATGTTTGGTCGATTATTTTTATTTTATTCTGGAATCAAATTGTAAATTCAATTATGATTATTTTCACCATTAAGTTCGATTATTATTGAAGTTTCAAGTTTTAAGACAGATTGCGAATAGTGTATATTTTCTCGTTGTAAATATTTCTGTAAAGGGACTGTATATTACGGGGAGTTTTAATTTATTTATTATTTCTGTTAGAGCATCCCGTTTGGAGAGGAATTAAGGATTACATTCGTTTCACCGTACATTTATATCAACCGTCGTCATTTCACGCACACAAATCATTCGGTCACATGCTTTGTCACATTATTTTGCAATACATACCCTAGTACTAAGGATGGTGTGAATGGTATATAGGTACCTAAAGTTTTTATTAGTTGTCTCGGTTGTGTTGCCTTTGCGAGTGTGAGTCTTGAAGACGTTTGCGTTGACTCGATCGCCGCTCAGTGTCCCCTCACTAAGCGGCGGTGCTGTCCCGCAGTCTAAGAGTAGGTGCACACCGTTGATTTTTCGTCGGCCGATAGTTTAGTCGGGCAGTTGATCAATATGCGCATGTATGGGAGTGCGCACACTACGCCGATTCGATTTGGCCGATTCTTCATACAAATTAAAATCGGGCACAACTATCGGCCAACTAAAAATCAACGGTGTGCGCATACTCTAAGGTAATCAAATGTTCGTACTCACCCGAAAGTCCCAGCTCGCTTTTTGCTCAGCAAAAGCGAGCTAGGGGGGGGACTAGAGTGGTTTGAACGAAAAGCAATGGCAATGGACAACCGAATTGTGTGTTAACTGTCAGTAATTTTATATCCTTTAGATGACTTGTGTCAATGTGTAGCGTCTATGACCCGTTCGCGACGTAAATCGGTGTTTTGTGTAAACATGCGATTCCTGGAATGAAATTTCGGCTTGAGAACGCTTTACGTATCCGATAGGCTGATGACTTTTCTTTCTTGATGTGTGCTTTGTGTCAAGCAGCCACGTTGCGTATACGCGAGTCGCAGTTTTTTATGCATTGATAAGTTGATCTTATTGTGAGTTGCGCTCGTTTGTACAACGCGGCTGCGATGTGTGTCGACTCCTCTCTATCGTCCTTTGTCACGTCGCGAAGGGGTTTGATTCCCGTAAATTTGAACATCGACCTTAGAAAAAAGAAAAAAAATCTTTAATCCTTTGTTTGAATAAGTTGCCAAAGTCGATGTTATTTCTTGACGGGGATTATAGTTTCAAACAAACTGGCGTGTGTGGAACGAAAAAAGTAGATGTGAGACCTCGTCTTTATGTTGTCACTTCTTTAACAAACATTATGCGGGTGCCGTAATTTTTTCTATACTCTGTTACTTCTGTCATAAGCGCCTGGCTCGCCAAATCCAACCAAATCTTAATTTCCACGTTTTTATTGGGTACGCTTCAAATCTGGGCTGCGACGAAACGTCATTAACGCGCGCTGAGCGTTTCGCCGTTTCCGATTTGTCGCATACTGAAAATACTAAACAACACGCGTAGAGTCTCCAACCACAATGTTTGGTGAGCCAGCTGCTCTGCAAAAGAACTGAGTATAGAGAGAATGTACTGTTTCAGTTTAATTTCGTTCCATTCGTGCCGGTGGTGGTGAAGTATTTGCGTTGGTCTGACCGTGTTGTGCGTTGGCAGGCAACTTGGCCTTCCCCGCGGGCCAGGAGTCGTCGGACGAGGGCCCGCCCACGCCCCCCGCGCGCGGCTCCTCCCCCTCGGCGCCCGCGTCGTCGGCCGACGACGAGGACGACGAGCCTGTATCCACACCGACTGAAAGGTAAAGTTTTGGTTTTTGGAGCTTTAACTAATAATTAACGATTTTTAGGTATTCGACGACAGGTTTGTGGGTTTTATTATGTTTTTTCAATCTTAGGCGGTTATTACACTGCGCCGCTCTCCGCCGCGGAGCGCGTGATTTTCATATAAAAAATCACGCGCGCGGACGCGTTGTCAGTGTGAAGTGCCTCGCGTGTTTTCTATACAAACTGAGGTACTTGCATACAATGATTAAATCTGTCGCCCCTGTCGCGCAGTGTGATAACCGCCTTATATCTTTGAAATATCTTTTGCTTGCCGGCCGTATGGTATCCTCTCACTAAAGGCCATAAGGAAGCTCAAAGTTGCACAGCGTGTTATGAAAGTGGCTATGCTCGGTGTTTCCTTACGAGATCGAATCAGAAATGAGGAGATCCGTAAGGAAAGTACTTCTGACACAGCCCGACGGATTAGCATGCTAAAGTGGCAATGGGCAGGGCAAATAGCATGCAAAACTGACAGCTGATAGAGTAGCAAAGTTCGAGAATAAAGGCCACGTACTAGTAAAAGCACTCAGAAAGTGGACACTTTCAACAGATTAATCTGGAAAACATTCGGGATGGTCTATGTCCAATATTGAACGTGCTGTTGTTGAAATGATAATAATGATGATGCTAAGACCACAGACTACAGAATTTTCGTCGGCCGGGCTGTCAATCAGTATGAACATGTCTACCGATTTGGTATCGGCCGATTCCCCATTCAAAGTAGAAGGCAACTAAACTATCGGCTGATAAAAAGATTGTAGTCTGGGGGCTCAAAGGCAGGGTACTCACCTGCCATGTAGCACGTAACGTAGCATGTAACGTAAACAACCTTCAAGTGAGTACGGCTCGTCCACGGTCATAGCGTATCTGGCTGCGAACTCCTGAATCCTACTGCGAGCCGCCTTTGTGTTCGCAGTGATACCGCCACTCGGCGGGTCGCTGCGATCTCCCTGCGAACCGCGCGCGAGCAGCTCGCAGCGGGCTCGTGCCTATGTACTCACTTGATACAGTATCTGATACATTACATGCTACACGGCTAGATGAGTACCCTGCGTAATATGAACCAAACATTACAAGTTTAATATTTAAAACTATTATGTTGCATTTTTACTATAAAATTATCACTTCACGGGATTTATTGCAACAATATCTTTTTTAACGGTAAACATAAGATATTTACCCTCCCGACGTTTCGGCTCGGTTGCACGAGTCATGGTCGCGGGCAGACTGAAGAGCTGACTCGTGCAACCGAACCGAAACGTCGGGAGGGTAAATATCTTATTTACCGTTAAAAAAGATATTGTTACAATAAAATTTTGTGATCACCGTCCATAACGCCCCCTGTTGCGCGCCTTCTTGACTGGTAGCCTCAATATGGTCCCGGTCAAGAGGGCGCGCAATCCGCAATCTTCATCGTGTTGGTTCCCGCTGAAAACCAGCTTCTCATGGCGCTTGTTATGTCGCGAATATAGCTGAGCGGACGCCTCTTCAGCATAGCTTGTAGTTTAATGTTATAATAGGTACTGTATTTTTATTTTATTTTTCTATGCTGAATAAAGTACAGTAGAATCCCGATTATCCGGATCAATTAAAACCAGGGGTGTTCCGGATAATCGAAAATCCGGATAATCGATTTCAAAGTAAAATCTAACAATAATTAACTTTTTACAATAGAAAGGGTTTTCAATACATCATTAAAGAGTCTAAAAATCTAAATTTTAGACCATTGGTCATCCATTTCTTTTAACAATGAACTAAGAAGACGTCCGTATCATGTTACGGTGGCGGCGCCTTCGGTTTTTATGGGTCCAGACCCTGAATCGGTAATTAGAAACCGTGAAGAATGAGTCCGGATAATCGGATATCCGGATAATCGAGATTCTACTGTATTCTAATTCTTATCCTTAAATCCCGTGAAGTGATAATCATTACAAGTTTGTCCTTTCTAACGTGCACGTTCACCAATTCCAGCACCGACCGCAACGAGCTTCGCCGACGTCATACACGCGAGTTAGCGGACCGCGTGTCGGCGATGAAGCGGCGCGCGCGCGATGCGGACAAGTGGCACGCGCTCAAGAGGTCGCTTCTCGCGCCGTTGGCCGTCACCGTCGGCGTCCTCGTCGCCGGCATCGTCGTCTACGCGTGCGTCAAGCACTAGCTGCGTTCCGACTTTAGACATGTGGACTGAAGCATAATGGAACACCGCCTTTACACTTGTATAGCCCGGTCTGCGAGCACGTAGAATAGGGATGTTTCCTGGGTCAAAAAGCAAGTTTTAATTAGTCCGTCAGTTAACTTTTCAGAAAATACTCTACACGTATTTTTCAGTTTTTCAAACTAATGAAAATTTAAAGAGATAAAGCTCGCCAAAGTTCATAAGAAGAGGCCCGTGACGTCAATGAGTGCATAAAAAGCCGCACTTTGAGACGTCGCGCGGAACTTCAACGCACCATAACTATGTAATTATTTGTTAGATTGACAAGTAAAAATATATGTGTCCAATATTTTTTGATATCAAACATAACGGACTAAAAAAAAAATTTGTAGAAAACTAGCCTATTTTGTCCAGTGACCCCAAGCTACCCATCGTTATCGCTCGCGCGTAATTATGTTGCTGTCGCTCTCGCACACTCACTGCGGGCGCCCGTCGCACAGTCGCGACAGCAATATAATTACGCGAGCGATAGTGATGGGTAGCTTGGGGTCATTGGACGAAATTCTACGTGCTCACAGACCGGGCTTTAGTTACAAGTTGCTACGTAAAGCTCAACCACGCCAACGCGTGCTGATCGCCATCGCTGGCGCGATAAGCTATCATAAGCTGACAGGTCGCGTGGACTATCATGAGTCGAGACCTGTCATTGGCCTATGATCGCGCCGGTGATCTGCACGCATCGGTGTGGTTGAAGCTAAACGCCATAAAATTTACATAAGTAACTTACGGAGTACAATAAAATTTACGATGGTCCGTTGTTAATTTTACGCGAGTAACTTACAAATGTACGTCAATAACTTTACGGGTAGCTGTAAGTTACTTACGTAAATTATAGCCGTAACTTACTTGCGTAAACAGATTATCGTAAGTTACTTATGTGAGTAAACCTTATAAGTGTAAAAGCGGTCAATGTATAGGGTCCGGTAAAAAACTAAACTAAACATAGGTTTTCGATTTTGCAAATGAATTCGATTTTGAGAATTTTTGATAAATGTAAACGAATTGAAACGGTAATTTGGACGCATTATCGAATTACGTGCGTTCACAAAAATGAAATTAATGAAAAAAAAAAACGGTTAACCCCCGTTTTTTAATACACGCGTTGTAGATTTTCGCGCGTTCTTAATAAAAACAATAAAATTTTTGGCATGATTTAAGTATAAAATGCGTTGCAAAAATGAAATAGGTACGGATAATAAATAAATGTTTTTCAATGGCCAGTAGGGATTAAGATAGTTTCATTGTTTAATGAAATGATTCAGTTGGTGAATAAAGCTCGGATATCAGGAGAAATAAAAATAAAACAATGTAAATTGCAATGAAATGTATAGTAAATGATTAACTTGATTGAAATTCAAACTGAAAAAGGTTAATTTCAATTGGATTTAAATAATTATAAATGACTGAAAATAATGATAATAATTTGAAGTGATGAACCAAATTCATTGGCAAAATATTAAACTAATGTAATAATAATGTATTGTAGTTTTGTAGAAAAACTATTTACATAGATTTTGATAACGTTCTTTGAGTAAGTATATGGGATAGTTAATGTTGATTGGGAATTGATGAAAATCATTGGGTTGTTAATAATATTAGTTGGCATAGTAAGTTTAAAGCATCATATCATCATATGTGCCACTTGTGGTCTAAACTGAATAAATATTTTTGATTTTGATTTTTGATTTTGATATAAAGTATTTAGGGGAGGTGTTAATTTTATAGTTAGGTTATAATTTTTGTATGATTATGCTATTTTATTCTCTAAAGTTGGAATTTTTCACGAATTTTAATATCTAACAACTATGTGTGATATATCATTGGAAAGAGATGTTTTAAGATCATTGGTAATTCATTATCACTATAATTATTTATTTAATCGAATTCTAAGCAGAATTTTTTATCGTGGTTTGTACTTTTGTTAAATTTTGGCGGCTCGTAACTATCAAATCATTATCTGGATCTGAAATTTATTTTATTTGACTAAGGACATATTCTACAGGGTGTTAGGTAAATGGGTATATGAGCCGACACTAGCCCATGTTAACATGGTTATATAAAAGGTATGGTGAAGTCAGAAGATTGATATCTTCATTCTAATTATTTTATTTTTCATACAAATCGGATTTTATAAAATTTATTTTGTATGAAAATTTAAAAAAATAAAATGATGATATCAAATTTCTGACTTCACCATACCATTTATATGCCCATGTTAACATGGGCTAGTGTCGGCTCATATACCCATTTACCTAACACCCTGTGATATTAATATCAAATAAAAAAGTTGTTGAAAACACTCGAGAAAAAAAATTTAAGCAGTTTTTAGTTTTAATTTCGGAAAATTTTATCCTATGTCTTTTCCCGGGACTTAATTATCTCTATGTCAAATGGCAATGCCAGATTTTGTATGGAAGGTGGCGTCTTTTTTTTCGCGCGGCCATCGGTCAAACCTTATTTTTTTATTACAAAATAGTGTAATAAACCAAACTTACTATGACATGTATACCTCTAAATTCAATCTCAACTGAGTTACGAGCATTAGAAGTTTGATGATTTTACATAGGTACTAGATTTGCCTTTTGTGCGCAAGTTTTGTAAGAAATTGCAACAAAATAGTGACATTGTATGTGTAAACAAACAATACCATCCATTTAAAGGCTTCAGACATCAGTGTGGAGCAGAATCAGCGCAATAAAAAAATAGCACAATATTTTGTTGCAATTTCTTACAAAACTTGCGTGCAAAAAACAAGTCTAGTATGTAAAATCATCAAACTTCTAACGCTCGTAACTTAATACAGAATTTAGAAGTATACATGTCATAGTAAGTTTGGTTTATTACACTATTTTGTAATCAAAAAGGTTTGGTCGATGGCCGCGCGAAAAACAAGACGCCACTTTCCATACAAACTCTGGCATTGCCATTTATTTATTAAAGCATTAAAAAGTATAAGAGCTTAGTGACAAACGAGGACGTGTTTATGCGCGTGCGCAGTTGCGGGGGGTGCGGGGGAGGGAGGGGGGGGGGGCCGCGAGGGGGGGCGGGGCGAAGCCCGGAGCGGCCAGCATCGCAGATCTAGCTTTTGTAGCCCGCGTAGCGCCCACCAACTGTGCCACACGTGGACGATGCACATCTTCTATAATATAAAAATGAATCGCAAAATGTGTTGGTAAGCGCATAACTCAACAACGCCTGGACCAATTTTACCAATTCTTTTTTTTAAATGTTTGTTGAAGTCCAAGGACGGTTTTTACAGCGAGAAAAGTTTGAATAATTTCCGGGTAAACCCTAAAAAACTCGAAACTTCACCCCTAAGGGTAAAACGGGGTCCACGCGTACGAAGTCGCGGGCGGCCGCTAGTAATATTATAATATTATGTTGCCCGAGTAAAATACAGTGTGAGTCACGATAAAGTGTACATATGAAAATAGGTGAAACTAAACCTATTTTTATCGACAAAAAAGAGGTCAATTTTATTTAATTTTTTATAGATATTTTTTTCTTCCGATTACTTATTGTAAAGAAAACGTAATAACTTGTAAACTAAAAGGTATATCCTGATAAAATAAAAACAGTAATAATGCTAAATAACAGGTGATACTAAAAAATACATTAAATACTCAAAAAATGACAACAAATAATAAAAAAATGTACATTTTAATTCGTGTTTTTTTGGTTATTTAATATTTTTTTCCAAATAATACCCCCATAACATTAAGAGCTTAGTGACAAACGAGGATCGTTGCGCAGGCGCAGTTGCGGGGGGTGCGGGGGGAGGGGGGGGGGGGGGGGGGGCGGGGCCTGGCGGGGCCGGAGCGGCCAGCATCGCAGATCTAGCTTTTGTAGCCCGCGTAGCGCCCACCAAAGCAATTATTAATACATAAATTAATGCCCGTTTTCACCATCAATCCCTAATTTTTAAGTGAACTCTATAGTAACAATTAACAGGAATTTTGTTTACATAGGGGTCACTTAAAAATTAGGACTTGATAGTGAAAACGAGCATAAGTCATTTAAATCAAACATTTAAATGGCTAAAATTATACAAGGTGTTTCTTGTAAGGTATCAAACCGAAAACAAATGATAAGTGAGGACTAGACCTATCGATTTCACCCCCATATATGTTCTACGATTTTTCCTAGTTTAGAAGTTATCGTTAATTTTGTGATTTTTTCGAATTTTGTGACCTAGACTAGACTTTAAAAAAAATATCTTTTTTTTGCGTTAACTTTTCTCAGATTTCTTTTTTTTACAAATCCCTATTAATTGCAGATTTTTAAAGAAAATAATCACCTTCCTATCTTTGATACAAGATACAAAATTTTAGCTAGAAACATAAAAAATATACTTTTATAAAACATTCTAAAGACTAAAATCTTCAACTTAAAAATTTGAAAATGAAAAGAACTTCCATAGATCCAAAAAACTGTACAGTTTTCTGAACTTTCATAATAACACAAAAACATGTACTTAATAGACCACTATTTTCTGAAGTGATAAGTCGAAGATTCAGATACATATTTTTGACTTTCTTAGAACTAACTAATATTTACAATCCCCTAAGTTTACGTTATGTAGAACACATTTAAAGACAATAACTGAAAAGAACATTTTTTATCTACAACGAAGAAACTATTGCCCTCGATCTGGTATACAACAGGAAATATAGGTCTAGTTTCATCTATTTTCATATGTGCACTTTATCAAGACTCACACTGTATATCTAACCCCTATTCTTTCCAATAACATATCACATGTAGTAATTAAATATTGAAATTCGTCAAAAATTCAAAATTTAGGGAAAAAAATAAAATAATAATACAAAAGTTATGACTACACGCGCACAACGAACGGTTATCGTTAATCACAAGGCTCTTGTACTTTCTTGATACTTCAAAAATTGTCTGTTATCTCTGAACTCTAATACTTTATCATAATTACTGAAATTTTTATAACAAATATGCTCTTTAATCTATACTAATATTATAAATGCGAAAGTAACTCTGTCTGTCTGTCTCTCTTTCACGCCTAAACCACTGAACCGATTTTGATGAAATTTGGCATAAAAATAGTTTCACTCCCGGGAAAGGACATAGGATAGTTTTTATCCCGGTTTTTGAAACAGGGACGCGCGCGATAAAGTTTTTCTGTGTCAGACAAAATTCCACGCAGCCGAAGCCGCGGGCGGAAAGCTAGTAATAAATAAACTAAAATATTTTTTTAATAATTGAAAATATAAACAACAAAAGATTTATTCATAAAAATTCTTGTTTGTCACTAAACTCCTTTTAAGTTACAATAAATATCATCTTACTCTCACTTTAATAATACTTTTTGATACATTAAAACAATTAATATTTATATAACAACTCTCATTTATAATCATACTAACAAATTCAAAACAAAACAATCATCTTCTGTCACTAACCTCCAATACTTTTAGCACATTATTTGCAGTCATCAATATTCATTCAAATAATAAACTATGAACCAACATCAAATAAACAAAACATATCGAACAATTACAAAATATTATTAAAAAATTCCAAAATACAACACAATTAACTATCTCATATACAACTAAAACAACGATCTAAACAAAAATTTGCTACTTTTTCACGTTAGCCTAAGGTTTTTCTATAAAAATATAACGTAAAACCTAAAAACTTCATCTAATTCTAAACAATTTAAAACAAAACTTTCATACCAAAGGGGAATGAAACTAAACAAAAGCACGTGTATTTGCAATGCACAAATACAGTACTACTAACGCCATCTAGTACATACTATATGCAGTTTCCTTTTATGAATGGAGATGATTTGTATAAACTTGGCCACTTGTAAAGTATAATATTAAACTTTATTACATTGCAATAGAATCGAATGCATACTTACGCGTAGGAAAATGTAATCGTAACTTCGGATAAATATTGCACAGCTGTTAAAACACATTAAAAAAATAAGATATAAAAAATATTATAAAACGCCAAATGTCTTCGCAATGACCTAATTATTATTATGATCTTCTTAATTTTTAAAAACTTCAAAATCAAAGTCCATGTGTCTTAAATTATGCTTTTTCGGTAATAACACCAATTTTTAAAGGATCCATTCTTTATAAATCATTTTTTTAGTAATTCTAAATTTTCGTAGAGTATTAGATTATTGGATTTAATGTTAATTAATGAGATTAGTATAATTTTTGATGGTTTTACACGTTGAATGTTAGTGAACGCAGCGGTGCTCGGCCCACGGTAGGCTGGGTCGGCGTCGATGGCTCGACTGAACGAAAGTTCACTGGTGTCAATCATCATGCACACGTTGATATGATATTTTAATTAATTGAGTGATTTTGGGGATTGATGTATATTTTAAATACGCCTCTAGGTATTGATGGGTAGCCAAACAGCTTACCACTTATGGCTAATCGTGGCAATGACAATAATATAATATAATTAAAACGCTCCTGCCACGATATTAAGAACGATGTATTTTCGGGAACTAACATTAATGCCAACATAAAACGTTTACTGTTTCTATAGGTTCTCAAAAATACGCTACCATAAATTCTTGGTCGAAAAAATTAAAAACATCAATAAATGCCACAGTGAAACCTTACAGGCGTAATTGTAATAAACATCAACTGGTCATACTAACCACACACTTGGTTCATAAGTTAGAGACCGATGCTGTTAACATTGCCTCTGAAGCTACAAACGTATCGCCGCTGCGCTGCGGCGATCATACGCAGATTACGGAGTATTTCTCAACAAATTCAAAACCGTACCCCACCTACGTTTGGCTTTAAACACGCACTTACCCTCGGTATCTGGGCTGGTACAGTCAGTGCCGAATAGTTCATGACACCCAAAGTAGTAAAAAAGTTCGCTCAACTATTGACCACTCGCACAAAGCGTTTCGATGACTTTTATAATGCGAACAGCTAGGGATTGGAATTCGGTGCCTGCTGCTGTCTTTCCCGATGACTACAATCCGGGCCTTTTCAAGGCGAGAGTGAATAGGCACTTACAGGGCAGATATGTACCATCCTAGACTGCATCCCACTTAACATCAGGTGCGATTGTGGTCAAATACCTGCCTTTTTATGCTTAAAAAAAACTTTGGGTGTCTGGTACTATTTTACGCTGACTGTACAAAATTTAGTGACTGATAGGATTAGTCAAATGGTTCACAGTCAACAATATTTAACTTTTCGTTAAAATTCTGTGGGGACTATGGGTAACCCTGTTGCATAAAAAAATTTGCACTAAATCACCGTTTGCTACTAAACTGACATTTAAAGAATGAAGGTACTATCGGCAACAGTGTTAACTGCCCATTGCCAGTCATGTCATCTCGTTCTATCGCAAAGAATCTCCATTTGATTAGAGCGAGAGCAAAAACGGAAATGGATAGTTAACAGTGTGGGCGTGTGTACATTCCTACATGGCATCAATGGTTTGTCTAACTTTTGTATGCTACTGCGGGTAGCCAACGTTTCATAGACGTCCCACTTACGTCTTTAAGCTTTAAATTAATAAGGTTCATTATTGTCACTTATTTATTATGCATCAGGGTCTCAGAGCTGCATTCTTAAGTTCCATTTTTGAGTTGGTAATTTGGTGTTGGATTTGCACAGATTATACCGTCTAATGACTGGAATTTAAAATCTGGGCTGAACACTGAACATTCGTATTATGGAATAACACTTGAAACATTCCACACTATGATTCGTTGCATTGGAATTTTAAGACCTTTCTTTCTGAGGCTTGAATCTATTCTTAATTCACAGTTAAGTGTTATTTCATCATACGAACCTTGGTGTCATTTTCTCGTTTTATGTAGTTTTCTAATGAATTAGATAGTGGTTTCGATCATTTGAACTGTGACCATTGTGCAAGGCTGTCTGGTCCAAGTCAAATTACTGATTAATTTTTCAAAATCCTTTACTTTTTCACACAATCACACATATTCGTATACCAACATTAATAAATAGATGTTTACGTCTGTCTGTCCCTCTCTGTTTAAGCTGGCTAGAGAGGGACCTATGTATCAATGAGTGAGAACTTGACAGACAAACAAGCAAAAAATAGTACGAATTATTATGAAAGTAGAATAATAAAATAAAGCTGGATTACTTCTTGGCGTTGATTGACGCGCAAAGATTACATTCAAGCTGAAATACAGTATTGTTGAATTCATATAATAGCTGTTGTAGCACTCACCAACGAATATTTATCGACAGAGATAAGTTCACTATTTTATTATTTTAATCGCAAAATTTTATGAATGCATTTTATTTAATAAATATCAACAATTCATTTTTAATTTTTAATAAATAAAAAACTGTTATTGGTCGCGGTTTTGAAAAAATAAGAATCTTGAAGGACACTAGTCTAATATTTTGTACAAGCTTAGCGAAATATTTACAAGCATAGCGTTGTATACATACAGGGTGCTGTTTTAATGTGTGCCGTAAGTTACGTAGATGTGTATAAATCAAACTACTTTTACATAAAGGTTTTTTAAATTATACTAGCACGATGCAATTTAACTGCTGCTGCCATAAGCGCGTATTTTATATGGCACATATTAAATAACACCCTGTACTTCCCGTGTGGACTCTGGGGCGTTCTAATAATCTACATTCGATCCCATGGTCCCATCTTTATATGTAATGAAAATTCAATGTGAAAGATTTAATCCCATTTCATGACGACCACCAAAAGTTGAACACATTCAAAAGACAACTCGCCGCGGAAATCTTCTGCTGGCGTCTAAATATTTATCTATCATTAATTTATTTTAATTAAGTATCATGATATCGTGTATTGTAGTTATTATTTACTCTTCATCGATTAACCAATAATACATTTATTCCATTTTTATAATCAATTTATATACTACTTCATATTATTTTAACGTTCAATAAACTATGAGCTTACTCTCATTTTAGATAAATTTTTGACGTGTAAATCGTAGGTGATTATGATAAAATTTTGCATAGAGCTTCAATCGCCCTTTTTATTGAAATGGAAACATCGATTTGTGAATGTTTTAAAATTAAATTAGAATTATGAATTTTTGATACGTTTTGCTGTCATGGTCGATGGGTTTTCGGATAGGAGTTGCGAGCGTGAGGTTTAGGGGCAGGGCGCGGGGTCGCGGGCCGCGCCGGCGGGGCTAGGGCTGCCCGCGCGTACTTAGTGTAGTGAGACACGGGGAGCCGAAAACTGAACACCGGTTTATTATTTCAGGTTTAAATCAGTCGAAACACCTCAGAGTGAACACCGCGAGGGGACAGGCGCATAGTAAATTTGAACGGTACTAACGGTAATGTCACAGTTGTCAATGCATCCAGTGAGCTAACGCCATTTGTGTTCGTGGGACAAGTGTCATCTGTGTAATGTTATATAATAAATCAATAAGGGTTGTCGCTTTGTCTAATGCATTAAAGTACAAATATTTTTTTAATATTATTTAAGAATTATTGTAACTCAAATCAATTCTGTTTATTATTATACTTACCTACTTATTTTTACTTAAAATTACACGATTGACACAATTAAATATTTATGAAATTGCTTAAATAAAGCTCATTTTTATACAACTACTCTACAAGAATAACATATTGATTTTAATTATTTTGTAAAAAGACGTACTAAATCATACTTAGGAATCATATTTTACACATCTGTCACTAACAAGTTGCCTTTTTGCTTTTCATGATTTGCATGTTTCATTAAATTGTGTGAAAATGATCATTATAATACCTATAAAATTTATTTTCATTCCAAAATATTTAGTTAGTGTTCCATCTCATATTGTTAAATTAGATTTATTTACAAAAGAAACTTTGAAAGCTAAAATTACAAACTTTTGAACACTGTCAACGCCTTGTAACTAATTCTGTAATTATTGAGTTGAGTAAGAATCTATGAATCTCATACATAAGTATTTAAACAATATGCAGTCAATGAAGTAATAGTTTGTTCAGCAGCGCACGCAGAGACAGCCCTTAATGCCCCCCACCCCACCCCTCGCCCCTGTCGTTCGCGTCCGTTAGCTAACTGCGTAGGCATGAGACTGTGGTGATGTTATGTCAATAATTAGAACATATCTTCGGCAGAGGTCAGCTTTCTGGTTCTCTGAGTTTACCATAAGTAGGTTTTATTCGACTGTATCGTAGCAGTGTAGCCCGATTATTTGGTATTTTATTTACCTGGGAAGTTTCGCGAAAGTTTTGATAACATTTTCATGTGCTTCATAAGACACTCTTCGCCACACTTTGGTCATAAGCCAAACATAATTAATTATTTGATCGTACTCTATTCATAAATATTTAGCTAAAAATAATGACTCAACTCAGTATAATATGTACTTAAAAGTACAGTGGCAAAACACGTGGCAATGTGATAATATTAAAGCCAAGAAACTAGATAACGGGAAACTTTCCAGGTGACCTCGTTTTTACACAAATGATCAGTCTAGATTTGCTAGTCAGGAATAGTCCAGCTTCGTCCGTCCTCAAGACGATGTGTCAAAATTATTCAATGATGTTTCAAGTTATACTGAAACCATCAAAAACGCAGACAGCGTTCTATTACTAGAACGGCTGTAAGTTATATTAATTAGTAGGCATTGTCTGTTTGCCTCCACCAAGCGTTGGAACCTATGCTATGGGCAATTTTATGTTATTGTTAAGTAGGTGTAATACAAAGGATTCCGTATGCAAGTAAAATCATTTTTGGTCGAGTACCTACGGAACTCTTTAGTTGGCATATGTTTAGTTGCTCGTATGTTTCTCGCTCAGCTCGAGCGCGCACCGAGTCTTCGATTCTCTTCACTATTCCATATAAATGTATTAGACGCTATACCAATATAACTTGTACATAAACGTGAACTAAGCAAGTTTAATTTTAAGTCTTAGGATATTCATTTAGTATTTATATGTAGGTAATTGAATTAATATTTTTGTAATAAATCTTTAATGGGGAGATTTTCAGCGGACATTTGTTAGTCTTAATTGTGGTATACGACTTTTGATTTATTATTGATGCACGCTTTATTTAGACACAATCGAGTCCAAGGCTGCCGAGACGGAATGTAGTGGCAACATTTTTTAATTAAATGTGCATAATATTTATGGTATTGTCCGTCTCACCTTAGTTCCCCATCTTGCCAGATTTATAGTTAGTATAATTTATGTACCATCGACAATAAAATCGTGTATTTATCGTCCCCCATTATAGGTAATGCCCGCGCATTGGGTGCATAGAAACTTTTATCATTTGTCATAATAATATGCATTGTTAAATCGGAATCCTACATAGACAGTATTAAACGTAAATATTCTATGGCCAGGTATAATATTATGTGTATTTTAATAGAAATATGAATGGTGTTGCCAGATCGCGTGCAAAGGTACAATTTTATTTGTGAACTAGCAAATGTTTGACGTTCAATTACTTGACTGCAGAAGTATCTCGCAGCACGATGCATATACCTCGAGGCATGCGTTCGGTGAACGCGGTAGATTGTATTAATTTAATTGTTAAGGGTTCTTAACTGGTAGATGCTCCGCCGGACGTCTGCCGCAGCATTTAAGGCTTGTTTCGCGGCGCGGGCCGTGTCCGCAAACTTCTTGTGATCTTTGTAGATTGTTTAAAGGTACCATTGTTTGTTTACTCGCACCCGTAAAATACTAATAATATACGTACATAAATGTAATCAAATGTCACGAAATACATAATAAAATGTTCGCATGTCTTTTATTTAATAGCATAAATTAGGACAGTATAGGTATAAGTTTTAGTGCTATCCATAATTCGATATCGTTTCTTCAAGTAAGTATTGTATGGTTTTAATGTTTAATTAGGTTTTTTTTTGTAAACGCAGGTATTTTTGTAAATAATAAATATATTAAATAAACTAATTTCTTCTTGAGGGGTAATTTCAACAACAATCTAATCTTTAATGCATCGTTGATACTTGCGCTTAAAATGTAAGTTAACCTTTTTAAAGTATTTATTGTATGTAGGTATAGCCTTTATGTACGATGTCGTGTATATTTTTCTTTTTCTTTTTAAAGCACTTCCAGACGATTTTTGCTTGAGAGAGTAACAAACATGTTAGACATCCATACAAACTTTCGCATTTATAATATTAGTAGGAATTAGTAAAATTGTATATTTTGTTATCTGTTCTTGATATTTACAGAAATCATCATTTCGGCCACGTTCTCATAGTCCAGCCCACACTGTCCACACTGCTGACGCCACGAACAACGCCAGAGCTCGCTCGGATCGACGAACTCCAACGGTGCCCTACACTGAACCATCCCGCTGGTTTCGATTTTTGCCACGTTGGACAACCTTAATATGACATTACCAGAGGGCAATAATCCACAAGGCGGACCGACGACCTGATAAAGGTAGCAGGAAGGCGCTGGATGCAGATCGCTACCAACCGTGCGATGTGGAAGTCATTGGGGGAGGCCTATGTTCAGCAGTGGACGTCCTATGGCTGAAATGATGATGATGAATAATATCAATACTGGGTTTAAAGATGACCTAAACTGAACTGTCCCACCAAACTCATTCACAGAGGGGCGCCACCATCGTTCAACTATATAGTTTCCAACATGGCAAAAATCGATTCGGTATTGACGGTGGCGCCCCCTGTCAATGTTACGGGTAGGACAGTTCAGTATATTGGGTCTATACTATAGTTTTTGATTTTTGCCACTTGACGTATCAGAATCGTGGGACATACTCAGCGAGAGCAATCTTTGCTTTCTTAAAACCAAACCTTTTTGTTTTTAACATTTAAATCTTTAAATTTTAGGAATTGTATTTAGGCCGCTGTGACTCTCATGGTGGTCTCTTAATGGAAGCTGCCCCATAACAGCAGTACTGTTACCACGAAGGAAGGGGTATAAGTATTTATAGCCTGACCAGGAACATAAAAACCCTGGAATAGGGGCGCTTCAATTGCATTTGATAGTGCAACACTGAGTACAGTCGTACATGTGTTAAATTAATAGGCTAAATTTATGTATCAGGATTCAGGATTACGGGCTAATTTGATATTTTCATAAATTAACGAAAAATATTATTAAAGGTAACCTGGTTTAAATAAATTAAATGAAACCATCAATCGAGCTAGTAGGATTTATTTTATTATTCATCAATAATCAAATTCAGAACTTGAATATTCAAGTGCAATGTCTGCTCATGAACGCTTCAAACTCGGTACTTCTTTCCCAATTCCATAAAATTCAAAACTTAGAAAGTGACAAAAAACTTTAAAATAGGTAGTTGAAACAGACTACAGCTAATTTTCATAGTGGACTGTACTATACGATAAACATGTCAGTCAATTTGACAACCTTTGTCGGAAACATTATTCAATGAAAATATTGTCCGAACCCTTAGTATTTCTCTTCGACAAATACATTAACACATCGTGAACCACTTTTCTTTCACGACTATAAAAATATTTTAGCAATTTAATTCACAAAATCAATTGCAAACATTTAAAATAAAGTTTGTTTACACTTTGACAACAATAGACTGACATGCAAGGTGACATGTCAATGAAGTTTTCAGTTACTGTTGCCATTAAAAGAAATTAGTACCATTAGTTTTCCGCAACATGGCGAGGGTTTTTATGTTCCTGGTCAGGCTATAATTCATAGTTCATACATTAAAATAAAATAATACAAACATTTAGAAAAGATACTTTATTGAATAACGATATAAATTTCTTCAACTCTCAATGAAAATACATAGATTATTTTCGAGATTATGGCATAATATCTTTAGAACATGAGCCATTAGGTCTTGAAAATTTTTGCACAACTTTCAGTAACAGTATTATATACTACGAAATATGAAAATTTCGATAAACCAGTAATATAAAACAGTAAACAGGATCTTACTAGATGCCTACCCATGACATTGCTGGTACAGTTACACGTTATCCCTATAAATACCATGTTACTACTTATTTTGTATTGAAAACTACACAGCAATTTCATACGTAACCACCTAACAATAGGGAAATATTATTTTTAAAACTACAAGTAATTGCCACATGTTCTAATGAAAAAATATTGAATGAAATGTATGCATTTTATCGAGATCCGTTTACAATAAACGTCAGGGAGATACATTTCCTAAGTCAACCAGAGTTCCAGACTCCAGGTAATAATTTATTTGTTAAGGGTGCTTACATTCAAAGCTGGTATATTCCACACCGAAAACTACAGAAATAGTCACTCCCTTATAACAAACATGTAAGAAAGGTACCGCTGCCAGCTTCAAGATACCAACAGACACTTTCATGAGCTTGTTTTCAAATAGTAATCTGCAAAACTTTTAAAAAATCTGTATAATTGAAAAAAAAATGCTAAATGCTCTTCGCTAAATACTGTTTACCAAGAAAGCTTAACTGAACGTGATAATAATATGAAGAATTTACAAAAACTCCTGTCATTTGCCAGCATGTAAGCACCCCTACACTGCTCTAACATCAATCTCCAATAACATTAAGTATTTAATTGCACATACATATTTATTTTCAACAACATTTATAAAGATATAAATCAAGGTATTTAACTAGTTCTAAACATTATGGACTATACAATATTATCGTTGTCAGCGATTTTGGTGTCAAGTATGAGTGAGAAATACCTCCTATTGACGATACCTCAACTCGACTCACCCTCCAAATCAATAAGATATATTTATATAAACTCGAAATTATTATATTTCCTCAGACGAATTGAGGCAAGTCGAAGCAATAAACTATGGCAAACCCATGTTACCTCGAGATCTACCAAGACGAACACACAATATACATATTTTTTTACTTCTTGCTCACTAAACTTTGCTTACATAACCATGCCATGGCCTGTCCAAAAAGTCAAATATTTTATTTGAATAACACGGATGCTTCGTGCACGCGACGTTTCCAGTTCAATGGTAGAGCACTACCCACGAGAAATATGATAAGGGCCTTATGCCCGTTTTCACCTTCATCCCTAATTTTTAAGTGATGGTAACAAATAACAGGAATTTTGTTTACATAGGGGACACTTAAAAATTAGGGATTGATGGTGAAAACGGGCATTAGACTGCTGAATTGCATTCATCGCAAAACTCAACTCAAGCGTTCTCTTATCTACTCCACATTTTCGTACAAAAGTCTGACTACCTAACCGAATTTATCAAAACATCTAACAACATCCAAAGTGTTCAACAACAGGTACAAATCTGTTTTAACGCCAAGTATTTTATCAATTTTTATATATTTCTTTTTCTATAATCATTCTTTGACTGATATGTCATCCAATTTTAACAATTATTATTACTACACAATAGGTATATTTATATCAATTTTAAACTTTTATTCATATTATGTTATTTTTTTACAAATAGTCACTCTTCACGTTCACTCTAATTTACAAAAATATAACTCACGTTATCTTTACAGTATCGGATATATTAAAATTGTACAATAATGTAGTGTTCTGTATATTCAAATTGAAAATGTTAAATGATTGCTTAGAAGTTACATTTTGTACATGGTGTAACTAACTTTAACCTATATTTTGTACGTTAGTTCCAAAATACCATCATTTTTATACTTCTCATTAGTATATTGAAAATAGGGAACCCTAAAAAGGGTTTCTTTTGAAACAAAAATTAAGTGATAATAATTTCATTTGAGCATAGACATTGATACTTAAATAATTTAGAAATAGCAAATCTAAAAATAGTTTTTGTCATGTCTGTCATTCCCTAGTAGCCAAGCGAGTTTGTTAATTCTATTTAGTTGAGTTTCATGAAAGAATAAAATAATAAGGCTCGTATTTCATGACTGCACGGTAATGTAATATAGTTCTACATTCAATTAATGTTTGAATAAATTATAGACGTAATATAAACTACCTAATATTATTATACGCTGAAGAATAAGGAATACTTAATTTGATTGACATATGCCATGCTATAGCCGCTTGAGGTACGCGTTAGCAAGTCATCATTTTGCCAACAACACCCTGTACAAAGTAAAATACTCAAAATGCCTTTGTCATGGCTCATAATATAGAATATCTTAAACATAAGTATAATACTTCGGGAAAATGAAGGAAAATGTACAATATAAATTAAGCACCGCTTAGGAAGAGGTAGAAAACAGCACCTACAGAAAAAAATGGATGTTTATAAATATTTCAATTATAGATACATGCCTTCCGGCTTCAAAGAAGTAATTAATTAATTAATACAGAAGATCGAAGAAGATCAAAAACTTTTGCCATGTAATTTGGAAAATCTGTATTATTTAATCATTACAATAACTGTGGGCACCTCATGCCTTCTTTTTGAAACCTTTGATGCACAAGATTTGTGCCACAAATGCTCTAAACTTAACATTTGAAAGTTTAGCACGAAAATGCGCTAATCAATCAACATTATTGAAATTCTTGTTATAAAAATTTACCAGAAAATCGCTGTCAAAGCTTGAAATTTCACACTAGTAATATGCTACTACATAGTGTGTGCTACTGATATACAAAAATACAAATATCATTCTCGCTTGGGGTCCAATATTGGCATGTCATATAGATACACTTTATATAGGTACAATATTATTTAATAAACGCTACGGTATTTGTTGAAAATAGATTGCTTCCGTGTTTGTAACTTTGTAGTTAATATACCTTTTATATTTTTATCAAAAAGTGCTCCTATTCTAACAATAACATCTTAAAGACATTCACACTCTGGCATCTAATCAAGCCACAATATCATCACAGAACCTTAATGGTAATATTATTAAATATTGGCAATATCGAATTCATAGCTAGTACAGTACACGTATACTCTGCAATATAAAAATATAGCTCCATACCATAAAATGTTCTATTTTCATTTATAAGAAAAAAATATATTCTGTATTTGTAAATACCTATTTTCATAAATTGCACACTCACAAGATCCTTCGATAACGTGTTATCAAATTTTAAATATATCTCAATGTTATGGCTTTTCAGTTTAGTGCGCTTCAAAACTCTCATTTTACTTACGAGCTAACACACGTTTCAAAAACGTCAAATTACTCCTAATTCAGGCTACTATTTACAATTAGCTTTAAGCTGGGACCCACCCGCAATTAACTGTTCGAGCATTAATTACATCAAAAACATTTTAAATATCCAAATTGGACGAATGAGTTGGCCTGCATCCTCAGACAGTACATTATAACACGTGTAAAAACATATCAAATTCAATTTGTAGGTATATCAATATCAATGCTCCATCGCGGGATTAGGTCCTCAATCATAGCAAGAGACAAATCTTAAAGGCATACTCCTTAATATACACGACACGCGCGCAATATGAAAAAGTATAGTACATACAATGTACTGGAAATTGAAATACTTCATAATACTCAATCGAGTTATTCAATAACACCTAGAAAAGCTACTAAAATTAGTCCAAAAAAGTTGGTTATTTGATAATTTTAAAATGTTTATCATTCCCTCTAACATAGAAATTGTAAGTTTCCTGATGTCAAATCATCATCCGAATGAATATGAAAACATTCCAAAACAAGACATGGAAATTGTTAGATTTGCCTTTGACTTAATTTCCCGTTAATTTACGGAGATGGTTTAAGCAATATTTTTGTGTTGACGTCAGTTGAGATGGCTGAGAATGCCAAGCTCTCGCGTCGGATTGGTAGCTGTGAGTCCGCGAGGGTCGAGCGGGGCGTTCACCTGGCGCTCGGGGCGTCTGCCTCGGGCCCGTCGTGGTACTCGTGGAAGCAGGGCACGATGCAGAGGTTGGTGCGGCACTCGGGACAGTGGTACTGGGTCTTGCGGCGCAGGATGCGGCCGCACTCGTCCACGGTGTTCCAGCAGAAGTTGCAGCTGAGCGGCGGGCCGGCGCGCACGGCGGGCGTGTGGGACGCGCGCGCCTGCGCCGGCGCCTCGGGCCGCTCCACCAGAGTGACGGCGCGGATGAGCAGCGAGCCCACCTCGTGGTCCTGCGTCCGCGAGCGCCGGTTCTGGAACGCGAGGGTGCGACTGAGACAGGCGTACAGTACGGCTAGCACGAAAAACTTTCGAGTTCGAATCGTTTGCGTATTCGAATCGCCATCAAAAGATTTAGTGCGAAAATTACAACAGCGTCCTTGTGAACTTGTCGTAAAGTGAACTTAGTATGAGAAATGGTTGCACGAAACCTATTTTGAGCATCAGAATTGTCACATTATCGTTTAATTCGAAGTTTGAGTATCGAATTTTGTCGAATACGCAAACGATTCGAAGACGAAAGTTGTTCATGCTAGAGGTACTGAAGCAGGGTACTCACCTGGCTTGTAGCACGTAACTTAGCATGTAACGTATCCAACCTTCAAGTGAGTACGGTTCGTCGACGGTCATCGCGTAGGTATCTAGCTGCGAGCTCCCGTAATCGTGACAATAGCCGCCTTTGTGCTCGCAGTGATACCGCCAGTCAGCGGGTCGCTGCGATCTCCCTGCGAACCGCGCGCGAGCAGCGGGCTCGTGCCTCTGTACTCACTTGATACAGTATCTGATACATTACATGCTACACGGCTAGATGAGTACCCAGCTTGAGAGGACCATCGCGCTCGATTCACATAATATTCATGCATGAATCTTCAAACTCGTCACATTCAAGAATAGATCACAACATTTATGCTGGAGTTTAAAAATCTAGTTTTCTTCCTTTATACCTGCTAAGTCCTAACTATTGTTTTTTTTTCTAAGACAGCCAACAGCACAGCCACAAGTTCAGCTCCCTAGACAAGTTACAAAACGTGACAGTTCTCGAAATTAAAAATGTCACGTTTTATAACTTGTCTTGCGGAGCAGCTTACTGTATTAACATTTTATATGTTAACCTTGCGATTTTCAAAGAAAAATATTGAGACTGATATATTAAACAGAAGAATCAATTCGCAGAACAAATAAATAACGATTCTTTGAGCAAAACGCCAAAATCAGATCGCACAGCGCTAAGTTTGAATCGACTATTGAAAGTCGTTTCACTCACAACGTATTAATCAAGTAACACTACTATTAGGGACTAATTACATTTCGCACAGCCTACTAAGTACTGCTTACATTAATACTTGCCTATAGTCTGTCACGTAGAATTTTGTCTCGCTCGCGCGTAATTATATTGCTGTCGCGACTGTGCGACGGGCGCCCGCAGTGAGTGTGCGAGCGCGACAGCAACATAATTACGCGCGAGCGATAAGGATGGGTAGCTTGGGGTCATTGGACAAAATTCTACGTGCTCACAGACCGGGCTTTACAATGAAACAAAGTTAATATCAACCACAGCAGTAACAGTAATCAGTACTGTATCATTTTACAGTCATTAGGTTTGTTCTCACTATAAATAACATTTTCCAAATAGAAAAATAAAGACTTACTTTTCAGGGTCCTTGGGATGGAGTGGAAACTGGCACCACCTAGATTATTTTACCAAATGCTATACAATATTATATTCTTTGTTCATAAATAAAGTCAGATGTGTGTGTGTTAGTGAGAGCGTGTAACAAGTATGAGTGTGTGTGTGTGTGCTTCCATCAACCCTCACTAGGTCATGAGTCCACCGACTAGTATTGTTTTCTATCTTTTGTGTTCCATGGGGTCTTATAAACCTCACAATAATTTTGTAATGTAATTACTTGCAAATCGGTGTTTGGCTGTAGCAGTTTATAGTTCTTAGTAAATGCATACCTAAATAAATAATAGATCAATGTTTTTGTCTACACACTTAGTTTTACCAAATCAATGTAGTGTGCGCACTTCCATACATGTTCAAGTTCATATTGTTTAATAGCCGGATCACTCCACCGCCTGACAGTCTGCGGAGTGTCCTACATTACGTTTGATGCTGATCCACCGTATACAGGGTGTGTCGTTAATAGTGGTCCAAAAGCAAAGGGGTCGATACATTACTCTGTATATGACTCCGAAAGAGGATAATACCTTCGTACAGACAGAAATCTAATTGCACATTGCAGAAAAGTGAAAAGCTACAATAATTTATTTAATGAATGCATTTATTTTATAAATACATGTGTATACTGAGCACAGCATCTTATAATTATAACCTTATTTTAAAAGATACATTATCTTATATGTAAATATGTCATAAAAACCAGTGGGCCTAGTGTGTTTACATCAAACGCGCTAACCAGTGAGCGCGTCAAAAAATGACATTAAATGTATGACGGATTGTACAGCGCCCCTAGCGGGAAACGTTCAAAAACTAAGATGTTCATACATTTTTTAAACTCGCTCACTAGTGAGTAAACCCACACTCAGCCCACTGAACACTACAGTGGAATTGCACTAATGGGATATTCAACTTAATATATTAATATAAATAAGGATCAAATAATTGGTTAACATTGAACAAATTAATTACATTTTTTTAAGAATAAGTTACGAATAATATGTTTTTTTTTTCATTTTAAAAGATATTTTACAATATTAAATAATATACATATAACTACTAACAATTTAATTTTAAAAACGTCTACTAAATAAATTGGTACAATAATTACTTACTTTTCAAGTAAAATTAACAATCAATGGTATACCTAGATTTATTAATAAATTCGGGTTTGGATACCACATCAGACAGCAGGGGGGACAACGTTTTTATTGATGTCCTACGGCTATTACATTAATGATGGATACAAATACATTCACGTTAGATTATACTCGTAATATTCGACTAGAATTATATTGAAAACTAGCGGCCGCCCGCGACTTCGTTCGTACGCGTGGATCCCGTTTTACCCCCTTAGGGGTGGAGTTTCGTAAAATCCTTTCTTAGCGGATGCCTACGTCATAACATCTACCTACATGCCAAATTTCAGCCCGATCCGTCCAGTGGTTTGGGCTGTGCGTTGGTAGATCAATATGTCAGTCAGTCAGTCAGTCACCTTTGAGTTATATATATTTAAATAGATACCGGATGATATTCCGTAAGGTATGAAGGAAATGCATAGCAAATGAAGTGGAATTGTATTAGTTTACAAGGACGTCGCGGGCGACTGTGGTACTCACGCTAAAGGACGCCGCATCAACAACAAGGCGTTCTAACTGAGCAAAGATACCCTTTGCCTTTGATCATTATCGCAGAGCTGTGCTTTCGAAGCGGGTGTCGTGCTAAGTGAAACTCGTCAGTCCGATATGCACATTCAATCAAACGAAATAAACTCTAAAAAACATTGATAAAATCTTACATCTAGGTAGTCTAGTTATAGACTAGATATACATAGGACATTTATAAAAAGAATATTAGTAATTTGTACTTCACAAATAACTAATAGTTCCGTCTGCCCCTCGTACTAAGCTAAATATGCTTGTGTCACGAGTGGGCTCACCACAATAGTCGAGCGGCGGCGGGGTTCGAACCCGCGTTCCTCAGATATCGAGTCGGCCTTCACCGTTCAGCTATTGTGGATTTAATTAATATATTATATAAAATTGGGTAAATACGTGTATAATATCACAATCATATGTACGTCTGTCTTATATTTGAACGTACTCATCTGGCAAATTTGGTTCTTCCTCCATTTGGTAATTGGGCTGTATGATTGGCGGCATAGTCGGCGGCATAGCCGGCTGCATAGTCGACGGCATAGCCGGCTGCATAGTCGGCGGCATTGTCGGCGTCATAGACGGCGGCATTGTCGGCGTCATAGACGGCGGCATTGTCGGCGTCATAGACGGCGGCATGACCGGCTGCATATTCGGTGCCATTCCCGGATGGATGGTTAGCTGCATACTGGGGCAATGCAACATCGGCGGCATGTGTTGCATGGGCGGCGGCATGGGCGGCCCGGAGCACGAACAAGGGCAGCAGGAGCAGTCGTGGTAGCCCGGCGGGGGCAGCGGGCAGCCGCCGCTTAGCACGCACGGCGGAGCGAAGTACTGCGGTGCCGGCACGTAGCCGGAAAAGTGCGCCTGAGGCGGGTTGTACGGCACGGGCCGCGCCGGCGGCGGCGGCGGCGGCAGCGGCGGCGGCGGCGGCGACAAAAAGTAGACTCGCGTGATAAGGCAGTCGTCGGGCTCGTCCTGCGGCGCCTCCTGCGACGAGTCGTCCACCTGCTGCGGCTCCTCGGCGGGCACCTCGATGATCTCGCAGTCGTCGGAGTCGTCGTCGCTCGACTCCTCCGCATTCGTCCCCTCCGCGTTCGTGTCCTCCTCGGCCGCTTCGGCCGGCACGATGACGCAATCGGGGGAACTTTCCCGTTCGGCCTCCGGCTGATTCTCAGTCTGTGGAATGTCAATGCTAACTTCGTAATACTTGACGTCGGGACCGGGAACCGAGGCTTGCGAGGAAGTCGAGGGCTCCGGGGCGGCCTCCTCGTTGTGCGGCTGATCCAGGACTGCACTCATAGGGGACGCTGGGGGTTTCATTTTCAATAAATTGAGCCGGAATTTGGCCACATACGAATTTAGAACATTCTGACAATGAATAGCGAAGGGCAAAGGTAGCCCGCGCAACTGTGACGACATGAACTGTGCGGCGGCGTCGAAGTCGTCGAGCTCGCGCTTGACGCCGCCGGCCTGCGCGCCTCTTGTGTCCGTCGCCGTTGGTTCGCCTGCATCCGTCTGGAACAATAAAAACAAATATTGATACATGTTTTTAAGTGCCATTTATAGAAGTGAGAGAATGAAAATACAGAAAGATTTTTCCCATCTCTGCCAATGTCCTTTTTTGATGCGCAGCTCTCTGTGGGGAACACGTCGCTGGGAACTTCCAACTAGTTCTACAAAGCCCCTCTAACTATCAAATTACTTGATTGATGTTTCAAAAACTATAAGATGTCAAAAACGTCATGACCCAGTGCATTCGGTGCAAATGACAATGTGTAATGAAATAACGCAAGTGTCTAACACACTCCATATGATTCATCTTTTATGGAATTGCTATTTAGTACGGAGGATTTGGCGAACACTTCTGTTCCTTATAAAGTGGGAGTATTTTTAAAGAATCATAAACTATCTTATATAATAAATTATGTGTGTAGATTGAGACAAAATAAAATTAAAAAATACAGCTGCAAAAAAACAGAAACTAGCTGTTTTTGGACTAGCCACACAGACAATATAATATGCATGTAGATAAGTAAATTCTTTAAATCTACAATGTGAAATTACCTTTGATTGACCTCCGCGTCAGTTACTTTTGACAGCTATTCGAAAATTCCCAATCTGAGGCTATTTAAGACTCACCTGCTGACTATTCATTCGGAAATGGCTCGTGGCAAATGATGATTGTGTAAGTGTTAAGAATGAAAATACATAATAGTATAAAAACACCACAGAATAAAAAAATAAAATGAAACAAAAACAGTAACACTTACCATGCTATCTTTCCTTCTAGGCTATCTTCACTTCAAGCTCTTCGTTTACGTCTACTGTATTTTATAGCACTAGATATGACGTCACAAAAAACCCTCCCGTCCCGCTCCCATATCTCTGGCACTGAGACACAAAATATAACAGAAGGTAAACTCATGTATGTACCTCGCTTTGCATACCTCTCTCGCTCGCACGCTCGGCCGTCGCGCTAGGGTTGTCTTGTCATGTGTTGTGTTTATTTCGTTATGATAGAAAAATGTAACTCTTAATACTATGGAAGAAAGACAATAACAGATATCCACGTATACTTATGTAGTTATGTTTAGAACGTTATTATAGTAATAGTTTGCAAACAAATACACGAGAAGGAAGTAGTATGTAGTTGAGTGGTTGACACTATTATCCAATAATTCCTAAAACCTCTCTAAAACAATTCGATATTCCTAATAATTGAGTTGGCTTTCAATTTGTCAACGTTAAACGAACTATTGAAATACAAATAAATACCTTACTTACCTCCCGGAATCAACTGTTAGTTTCAAAAACGAAAATTTAGTTTTTAATGTTGAGTGTAAGCAACCTTCTACTTAACAAATGTTATAAACTTATAATACCCCTTTTTTGTTGTTCACTCATTTTCGCACAAACAAAATAATTTCACAAACGCATGAGCAGCGTCACTCAAGCGAACGCATTCGTCCAAGACAGTCTTGATAACGCGTACGTGAGCGGTGTCTATGTGTGCGTGGCTCGAGCGCGCTTAGTATGGAGTTTACCTTCTGTTATATTTTGAGACTGAGACAACTATGCGATAGTAGACGGTTCGAATCCTCTGCTTTCGAAGACGGGTGGCACTCCTTGCGCGAGTTAGGCCTGTGTGATATGGCCTCTCCTTTAGTCTCGGAATGTCCAATTTGCAAAATATCAAGTGGTATCAAAATGTCCAAGTTGCGAAATGTCCAAGTTGCGAAATGTCCAAGTCGCGAAATGTCCAAGTTGCGAAATGTCCAAGTTGCGAAATGTCCAAGTTGCGAAATGTCCAAATTGCGAAATGTCCAAGTTGCGAAATGTCCAAGTCTCAAAAGTTCAGTTAAGAAATTAATAAATGAAAACTCTTTATAAGAAACTTTGAACTTCTAAGACTTGGACATTTCGCAACTTGGACAATTTGAGACTTGGACATTCTTGGACGTTTTGCGACTTGGACTTTTTGAGACTGATATTTTGCAACCACTTGACATTTTGCAAATTTGGACATTTTGAGACTAAACCTGGCCTCCTTTTGCGGATACTTGGCACCCCCGTCAGCTTAAAGTTAGACGGAGGCCAGACTTAAACCTTGTATTCACTTGAAGCGCTCAATCGCCTGAGCATGCTCAAGTGGATACAAAGCTATAAATACGAGTAGGCCGCAGGCAGCAGACCAATAGAACGTTCAAGTTTTGGTCTATACCAATAATTTACGAAAAAAAATCCTTAAGTTTTAAGCCAATTGGGTTGGAGTATATAAAAATGTTGTAATTTTGAAGCAACACTATGTACTAAGAGTTCGTGTAATCTATAATCTCGTAAAAGAAAAGATGAAATGCCTTATAAATTAATCAATTCCTGACAGAAAAATATTTTTGAAATTAATAACTTCAATTCAATCAAAATTATTGTGTTATTTTATAATTATTCAAGATATGACAAGCGCTAACAGCCAAAACACAGTCGCGATGAGAATGGGGGGAGGGGGGAATTCGCAATGCAATATTAAGGTTTCGACATTTTGAGCGAAATCGATCGAGGATATGGTTAGACACAGTAGTCTTCTAAGTCTACCTACTAGACAGACAAGCTGTTCAGAATATAAAATGCGTGCGTACGCGCAGTGGTGAAATGACGAAACACGCAAAACACTAAGGGCTATCTTTCACCGGGACACCATGGCGGCGCAACGAGTCGCAGCTACCAACAAAATTTATGCAGCTTTGCGCAACCAAACGGACACCAGGTGAGTAACTCTCTATAGAGCTGTATACATTTTGTTGGTAGCCGATGACTGGTTGCGCCGCCATGGTGTCCCGGTGAAATATAGCCCTAAGCGTAAAAAGTAAGTCATAAGCACGTTTTTTATACGTAAACGTTTTATAATTCATACGCTCTCCCCTCAACGACCAGTGTCTCCGTTTAAACTGTAAGTCCGGCCCTGTCAGGATGAACCACTGTTCAAAATAAAGTTTCAACAAAAAACAAGTAAATAAAATCAAAATAATTAATTAATAAATAAAATACAAGTGTATACGTGTGAGTGAGTGTGTGCTTGTGAATTTGTGTTTAAATTCAGCCTCGCCCTACTAATATTGTGATAGCATTTGGATTTTAATCATTTCGTAGTCTTAATACAGTCACCAGTTTTGTAGTGTACAGGAAAACATTATTTAAAGATAAGAAAAGGTTTACCTTTACATCGAGCGGGCAGCGACCGTGCTTATAGGGCGCGATACGCAGGCGTGTGGTAACGACGTCCTGCTTGGCTCGACGACTTGCAGGCTTCAATAAAAGACACCAAAAGCGAATTTTCTTTCGTCTTGTTCACGCAACGTATCCGCCTCATTTGTTTCTGCAATCGTTTGCCAATTCGGATGACCGACACCGTACCGTGAGATGTGGATTTGACTTCATCTCTTACCTTCAGAAACTGAGGGTATGATTAGTGATCGGAGCGGGTTAGCTTATCCTGTAGAAACAAAAAGGCTACGGCCGGATAGTCGCGACACTCCCACTCGGGCGATGACGGAACGCCGCGGAGGTTTTAGTGGGTATACCCCGTCGCGTCCTTTTCAACACGGCTAGCACGGAAAACTTTCGAGTTCGAATCGTTTGCGTACTCGAATCGCCATCAAAAAATTTAGTACGAAAACTACAACAGCGCCCTTGTGAACGTGTCGTAGAGTGAACTTAGTATGAGAAATGGTTGAACGAAACTTATTTTGAAATTGTCACGTTTAATTCGAAAGTTGAGTATCGAATTTTGACGAATACGCAAACGATTCGAAGACGAAAGTTGTTCATGCTAGAGGTACAGGACGGAGCCGATTCCTTTTCACTCCCTGTCCCCCGGCAGCGGTGACGGTGCGAGGGTAGCTACGGTCTCGATTAATTACCTTAATTATGTTGGCGGCGTGCTCAGATGCCCTCAATGTGCGAGGGGGTCTTCCGCGAAGATCGGCTACGTAAGCCATCTTTGAGCACACCAGCGCCGCCAAGACAGCTAAGAGTCGGAGTGAAATCGGTCGGATGTATCATCAACCGAACCATCATCCCTTTAGTCTCAGAATGTCCAATATGCAAAATGTCAAGTGGTAGAAAAATGTCGAAGTCTCGAAATGTCCAAGTTTCGAAATGTCCAAGTCTCCTGGCACAGGCTTCTTTAAGCTTAAAAGGAGGCATCGATCACTATTAATTATAAGCAAACTTCTGGTAATGAAATAAAGATTTATTATTATTATTATAAGTCTAAGGCTGGGTTGCACCGTCTTACTTTAACTTTGACAAACGTCAAAAGTCCGTCAAACTCCATACAAAATAGACCGGTTATCGTTATAGTTACGGTCAAAGTTAGGTGTTGCAACTCAGCCTTAAAAGTTCAAAGTTTCTAATAACGAGTTTTCATTTCATAATTTCTTAAGAAACTTTGAATAGTTGAGACTTGAACATTTCGCAACTTGGACATTTTGCGACTTATACGTTTTGTGACTTGGACATTTTGCGACTTTGACGTATTGCGACTTGGACATTTTGCTACCACTTGACATTTTGCAAATTGGACATTCTAAGGCTAAGCCGGATCATCATCATCATTACCTTGGGATACTGCGGGTAGGAGTCGTGCTTGACGAGCGCGGGGGGCGCGGCTTGCGGCGCGGGCGCGGGCTCGGACGCCTGGCGGCGCGCGCGCTCCTCGGGCACGCGGCCCTGGCGCTTGAACCGCGCGCCTGAGGCTAAGCCGGGTCATCGTCATCGTTACCTTGGGATACTGCGGGTAGGAGTCGTGCTTGACGAGCGCGGGGGGCGCGGCTTGCGGCGCGCGCGCTCCTCGGGCACGCGGCCCTGGCGCTTGAACCGCGCGCCTGAGGCTAAGCCGGGTCATCGTCATCGTTACCTTGGGATACTGCGGGTAGGAGTCGTGCTTGACGAGCGCGGGGGGCGCGGCTTGCGGCGCGGGCGCTCCTCGGGCACGCGGCCCTGGCGCTTGAACCGCGCGCCTGAGGCTAAGCCGGGTCATCGTCATCATTACCTTGGGATACTGCGGGTAGGAGTCGTGCTTGACGAGCGCGGGGGGCGCGGCTTGCGGCGCGGGCGCGGGCTCGGACGCCTGGCGGCGCGCGCGCTCCTCGGGCACGCGGCCCTGGCGCTTGAACAGCCGCGCGCGCCGCAGCCGCAGCCCCGCCGCCGCCAATGCTGCGTTCGCGCTCTCCGCGTCTGCAAATCATTTCATTCACCACGTTTAGTCGATACTTTTTAATATCTTACCTTAAAATCTTGGACATCAGCTTCACTCGACACTTTTTACTACCACTCAGCGCAGAGCAGTCGCGTATAATACGTTAAAAACTTTCCACCTTATTAATAAAAAGCACACCCCAGTTGAACACTTTTAAAGTGACGTTTAGTATGGAAATTTCACTTTGAAGCGTGGACAACTAGGGTGCAACTTTTTATTAATAAGGGGTTTAAGTTATAAACTTGGGAACTTTATCCACTAAGTAAGCATTATAATAACTTAAAATATTATGTGTATAGTAAGTTTTGTTCAAGTGTAGTGTATCCTGCAGGATATGTGTACGCTACTCATAATAACGAAGATTATTCAGGATTTAAAGGGTAGTAAATAAAAATAGCAAAGTACAAAATAACCAAATGATTTATTATCTATTTTGGTATAGAACAATTATTTAGTGCTACGCACAAATTCGCGAATTAATCTGTCGAATATAATTGCTTAAGTACCTGCATAATATTATTATTCATCAATTTTGCACGGACACACCGCCTATTCTTCAAATTATATAACCAGTTCTAGCATAACTACAACGATCTCAAAACAATTCAAAATAATGTTAAGACGCGATAACGTCTTTTTCTCGAAAGACGACCGTCCCGTAGCCACGCTACCGTGGTGGCGCTAGTATCTATGCAAGCATTTATTCAAAACGTTATCAATTACGTGATCAATATACGTTTTTTGAAACATTCGAATTCCGATTCGCATACAATTTGTGCGGTACCGTGTGTGAATCAAAATTCGATTGCTTCAAAAATACGTCCCAAAGAGCGTAGGTTTGGGTTCCGTCAACCTGTCTCATTCGAGTGAAGCACTTCACGGATGAAGAAGACGGACAACGACGGTACGTCGCAATGGTTTGCGAGTAATCTGACACTTATACTACATCGAGTTTGTATCTGGTAACAACTTCATGTCGCTTTGCATCGATTCTCCTACTGACCTTTATGTTTATTAGATAATATAAAAATAAACGCAATCAATGCATTACATTAATGGCACTGAAGGGTAAAAGACAATTAAATACAAAAAAGCAGTCTTAATAATCGACTCTATCCTACGCACGCGCGGTATATACAAATATTTACACCCGGCCGGCGGCCACCATCCAACCATTAGCTCTTACTAGATGTTACAATAAAAATCAGTCCAAAATTATAAGAGATCGCGAGAATAAACATGAAAGCGTCGTTGTAAATGTAACTTTATAAAAATATAATACTTCTTAGACATAGAAAGTAAAAAATAATACTTCTAAGTGTAACATTGTTATTTCAAACGCCTATGTACAAGTGTATTTCACTTACGCGTTAATCGATTGATAAAAAAGTATAATATATAGTTCGCAGTATAAAATAGGCACCAATTTTTGTATCTATGATTATGATTAAGCAGCTGTCTTCGTGATTGCCCGACCATTGACACTAGTACATAGGCGCGCTCGAAATACGTGATCGTACTACACGAACCAAACGCCCTTAGTTAGAGAAGTTAAAACACTATTTAAAAACTATCAACTAGTATATTAAGAATATAAACTAGTAGCTGATATGATTATAATATATTGCCTCAATGCAGAGCCTACAATAAACAATGTAATAATGTTGCATATCTATGTTTAGATATTAGCGGGTCATTTATCAGACTATAACAAACATTATATGTATACTTCTCTAACTAATTATCGGGGATTGGTTTTAATATGCCCTATAGACAAAGCATATTCGTTACTTGAATCGCTATTCGAAACGTTAACTTTCGGAAAGCCGACGCGCCTGTGGGTCCGATAAGATACTATTGGCAGTGCTAGACCGTCGTGGCGGTTGAATAGGCTAGTTTCCTAAAAAAATTTTTTTAGTCCGTAATGTTTAATATCAATAAATATTGGACACGTATATTTTTATTTGTCAATCTAACAAATAATGACATAGTTATGGTGCGTTGAAGTTCCACACGACGTCACAACGTGCGGCACTTTTATGCACGCATTGACGTCACGGGCCTCCTCTTATGAACTTTGGCGCGCTTTCTCTTTAAATTTTCATTAGTTTGAAAAAGTGAAAAATACGTGTAGAGTATTTTTTGATAAGTTAACTGACGGACTAATTAAAACTCTTGCTTTTTGACCCAGGAAACATCCCTATTAGCGGAGCAGATTCGTAGCGAGTATACTTTGTGTACGCGCACCCTCGTCGCTAGCCGATCGATGTAGCTGTCCCCACTCTCCTCTGGTTTAATGTTTGTTTAACGGGAGTACAACAATTTTTTTTATCTCTTATATTAGTATCACTGTTCGGGAAACCGAGGTTGTCGCGTCAGAACATTCAAAGTAAGGAGGTATTACACCTATTTATTGCGGTAGCGTAAGCATTATCAACAGACTTATTTATTAATTTAGAAAAACTCATTTTGATTTAAATGTAATTCTAAAAGTTAGTCTTTAAATTTAATTTAAAATTTGTGACCATAACTTTCATTGATTGACTCTATGGCAGTGGTTTATACGAATATCATGTCGCAATCTACACACTATTCGCATATTCCCACCTGAAAATAAGATCAAAACACTATTTTGCTTTAAGTACGTTGAAATGCTACCGCGACACCCTTATTAGCTATAAAATGCATGTGGCTATAATAATACACTTGGTGTGTCGCTAACATTAACATCGAGATCTAAAGTTCAAGTGATATGAGACATTAAAATTATCTACTTATTGCAATCGAGACGTTTATAAAATGTTGTCAAGGTTTCGCAGGCAGTGTAACGTCAGTTCAGGGCTCGAAATCGAGTCAACATTTCAGGCGGTCCATACAAATTCAATAGTTCATCGCGAACTACAATCGTCATCGTAACAATCAACAACAACAGTCCTTATTTATTAGTGCTCTTCTTTGAAGAATTATTTTGCCACTCAAAGAAACATTTGTTTATTTGAGCAGACAAAACACATTCGACATTGTCTAATAAAACAGGACTCAATGTAACAAATTGGCGAAACCCAAGAAACACTTTACACCGCCTCGACTATCCCTATGAGCTACAGTAAGCTATCTATACATACAGAACATGCGTAAACTGTTATTGTGCTAAACGTGTTAAACAGGAATATGCTATTTTATGTTACTACGCGAAATAGTATAAAAATACCTGAGTATATAAATATAAGGCTATCGTGAATGCACAACAGCGTCACCGTACAACTACACGCGGGCGACGTTTACTACTAAGTTTGCTAGCTCAATTATTTTTATGCTCAGGTAATATCTCACATTTTAACACTCCTTACATTAGCAGGCTCATAATAACGTAGCTCGTCGCAGAGCAAGCGCGTGCGCACCGAGCAGCGAAGCGCGCTTGGACTAAGTTTGTGTGCGCCCCTATGAATCGGTTCTAAAAATATTATATCTAATATTATGAGTATATTTAAACATTTATTATTTAGTTTATAATTATTGCTTTGGACTATGTTGATCGTGTTGGATACACGAGGAAAATCAAGGCATCAATGGTGTTTGGCCATAAACATTAAAACAGGTTTATTGTGACCAGCTTAAACGAATAATTTCGTCAAGCAGAATATATCTTCATACATGACGAGACTTTTTTAATTCGCTTACGAATCGCAGAATAGAGAACAGCTATAGCTTGTCATAATATTTCAGCGCTTAGACCATATTACGTGTCATTTTTTTTTTCTTCTAGTGGACCACTTTACGTTCAAAAGTTTTGGGTGTCCGGATTGAGGATCATTTAATTCTTGTAATGTGGATGGTAGCTTATACAATCCGCTTGCCCGCTACATCCGCGGTAAAATCCGTGCCTCATGAACGAACCCCGTTGCGGTATAATCAAATCGTTTCTCAATGCCGAAAAAATATCTTTGATCTAAAGGCATGTGATATAATATTAATTTATCGAATACTCAGACTATATAATATAAATATGATGTATATTGCATTTATAAGTTATAAGAATAGATTTATGTATAAAATATCAATTCTACAATGAAAAATTTCTATAAAACAACTAATCCAATTCATAGCGACGCACATGGTACATTCTAAATTGTGATATTCATTTAATTTTTCGTGATGTAGCATATTTACTTTATATACGAGTCTACAGTTACCCTAAAATAATTGTAAGTACATAATTGTACACTAAATCACATATTGTACTAAGTGTACACACACAAACTATTCAATAATACATTACATTAAAATTAAAAATTACCCTAAAATTATTCACAATATAGAAATGCACAATACTGTTTCACTGTAGCATTCGTAGAATTATCTTACATTCACTGGCGTTCTATAATGGTTCACATTATAAGGTTAACTCTTCAATTAAATGCTGTATATCACTACAAATAAAACTTATACTTATGGTATTTAAATGCTTATATTATGTATGATATATATAATGTATATAAAAAGACATTAAGGCAGATTTTGATAGGCGCCAATGATTTAATACTGACAGTTTCTATTCGGTCAAGTGACTACAATCAGCATTGAAGTAGGTAAGGCCTCACGTTTTGCATTAGGTTTTGGTTACAGGCACTGGTTACGTTACTTAACATTACAAATTGAACTTTACAATCTGCCGAAATTAAAGTTAATTTTATAATGAACAAACGACGAAATTGTATTACTTTAATCTTATCATACAAATAGAACGCGAATCAAAATCTGCCTCGAATGTAAATAAAAACTACACCTAGAGTAAACCTAACATTCCCTTTTGATGTGGTTATAGAATATTGTACAAACACGTTTATACAGATCACAATCTTTTATTTATGTTCACTGGAATTTCATCTTGTTAATACTACTTTAGTTTTTGGTGGCTGCTAAATAATGTAAAAAAAACTTTAAAAATAAGAAAGAATACTTATACATAGAGGTAGTT